TTCCTCGCCAACTTCTCTTCAAGGCCTCGGATCTGGAGTCTGTCGCCAGCTGTCCGGCTCTATCCATCATGCTCCTCCTCGTGCGACGCTCTCTTCGCTGCTCGAAACGGAACCCCGTCACCTTACGACCAATCGACCTCACCAGGGACCCCGGCAGGACAAGGGTTGGGGGTGTGTGGGCTTTCTGCTTGTGATCAGAGGAGGCGACAAAAACGGACGGAGGAGAAGCGAGCCTACCTTGGCTTCAATATCTTGGCGCCAGTTGAGGTTGGCCGACTCGTATGAAACGAAGCCTCCATTTTGGGGGAAGGAGATGTACAGAGCGAGTTCGATGCCCCCTAGACTGCTGTAATTTTCGCATTTCGTCAGCAAGGAGCTGATGTTCCTCCTGACCGCCTTATTGTATCGTTCGACTTCGCGGGCAGCCATATTGGCGTCTTGGTCTTGCTCGTACTGTAAGAGCATACACTGGCCATTTCGCATCTCCCACAGCCGTACTTATGTATTCACCCTGAACGTGGCCCCGCCTCTTTGGGCCAGGTTTAAGGCCCTGAATCGGGACACGAGCGAATTCAACGACGATCAATGTCCTTTTTTAGCGTGTGGGTCGCGAGTGCGTCGCGAGGTTGGGGGCGGCTGCTGCAACTGCATGGGCTGGCCAAGGGAATGTGAGTTATATGCAGCTACCTTCCGGCCTAATGTTTCATCTAATTTTGTATACAGTATTGCCAGCTTCTTTGATGATTGTCTAGATTTCGCTCGTTCATACCTCCATCTTGCCGAAGCTCGCATCAGACCCCGGGCAAGTCTTCTCTGTTTCTTCTTCCATGTTCGGGTGAGGGGGCTGCAACAGACACGAGCTCTGTTCGGCAGACCCGTGACAGGCTAGTTTCCAAAAGAATGAGGACCCATCTTTGGCCAGTCTTTCTTGAGGTACCCTTATTTCCAGCCTACGTTTGCTAAACCTCGTCTTCGGACTAAGCACGACGCCCAGAGTACAAATCTGCAGCGATTGACGACCAAGGGGACAAGATCTATCCATACTCGGTCTCCCAAGCCATGCTGACCATGTGTACTAATTCACAGAGCCCGCGTCTTTCAGCTTCCCTCACCTCAACGCGCCGCCGCATTCGCAACACAGGTTTTCGGGAGCCCTTCAATCGAGGTACGTGATCCCGTGGTTCCGGTCGCACAGCTGTGATGCAGCTTTACCCGTAAATCACTCATTCATGTGGTCGCAGTGTCGAATACCACGCTCACACACCCCGAGGCAAACCTCGCAGACGGCGCTGTTCTATCACCAGACGATTTATCTTTCGGCGAGCGATCGGTCAGACAGAGGCACTTTCTGCTACGTAAGCGCAAACACGTCATAACTCACGGTATCATCAGGCCGGCCATGGAGGCCACGCCCACCGACACCCACGCCAGGCAGGGTCATGAGTCCGAAAGCATTCATGACGTGTCCAGCATGGGTAATCCCGTTTTGGAGCTAGACGCCAGCAAATCCACGGAACGATGCAGGGGCAAGGCTGGCGACGGAGTTCCATCGCGGAAAACCGCAGCATTTCGTCAACGACACGGAAAGCATCGCCGAAATATAAAGTTATCCATGATGCTTCGATTCCTGTTGTAGGCGACCAGCGAACTAGGTGGTCGCTGTGAGCTATCAGGCACAAGAAGAGCAAGCAGAGATGACGAAGCTCGATATCGAAACCATTATTTTGGACGATGACGCTCTACGCTCGAGATGAACGACTGAAGCCTTCTACGCAACCGCATCGTAACCACCTTCCTCCCCTGTGCTGGCCCATCCATCTCGGCTTTGTTTTTCTCCCACACGAGCCTCCCGATCTCTTTCCTCTATAAGCGCAAAGATCGTCGTCCCCAACAGCCGAAACCAGGTCTCATCCTTACGCCGGTATATGGTGTCCTTACTAGTCCCACCCGATTACCTCCAATAAGGGCTTTGTATTATGCAAGGAGTTACAGTACTACTGGTCACCTTGGCTTGGACGCAGTTCGCTGAGCAGTCCCAGACCAGGGAATGGGCATGGGAACTAGTAGCACGGGTATCACGGAGGGGGAAGACTAGCGTACCAACATATACAAATACATGGCCCGGTACGAATTGAGGAACCATTATGGCTGAAACCCAACATCAATGCTTCAGGCGACCGGCCAATACACAAAGGGTACGCACAAGATAATGCACCAGTTCGTCCTAAGGGACGCAAGGCTCAAGATACTTGGAAGCGAGAATGCTACCCTTAGCCGACGTCGGAGAGCTAAGAAAATACGTCTCATGGAAGGGGGGAGTATGACTCTAGGTGATGGACAAGACCAGATTACCCAGGAGGAGGTAGATGTTCAAACGAGGGAGGAAACGAGGCAAAATCCGGGTCGCGCGACTCGGGCTATGCCGAAGAAACGGACCTGTGGCACCTCTGGAAATACCGGCCATAACACGAGAACTTGTCAGACGACTATGTTATCCTCTGAATAAGGTGATGAGAAGTGATTTCAATTGATTTTCTATGTTTTTATTGAGTTCTGGGTTGGAATGTTTGTCGGGTCGAGTTGAGGTGGTCCACTCACTGTACATGTACGTTATTTCTCTCCTTGTCCAGCGCCCCAGACTCCTCGTTACACTGGAACACAAAGTCTAAATGCCATTTGTTCCTGTCAATCTCAAGTGGTCCAAAGTAACACCCATGGCCTGGAAAGACAGTACCTGAGACCTGGCGGTTATTGTGTTAGGCTCTCCTGGCGCCACGTCAGGAGCGCGCGCAGGGTGCGGTTGGCAAAGAGCATCAGTTAGCGCCGACGCCCAGCGCAGCCGGGCGGCTCTAATGTGGCATCACAGATTACGAAAGAGGCAACTAGAACATAGGAAAAGACAACAACCAGGTCTAAAACGTTTACGGAAAACTGAAGAACTGATACCTGTCCGGAGGAAAACAAGAGCGCTATAACTGGCATCCCCCCGCCCACAAATTGTGCTATTTTGCATCGTATATCATGACGGGTTCAATGATACTGTCACGAACAAAATGAAACCATATAAATGTTTTTACAGACGAGGAGAGAAGCATCCCATAATATTTGGTGGGGATCGCAACGAAGTGTCATGCAAAGGCAACCTAGGTACACTAATTGTACGTGGGCAAAGGTTAATCGCTACTCTCAGGTAGACCCATCGTGATATGGACGCTCCAAGGCCTGTTTGTGACCCTCATTGATCTGTCAAGTCAAAGTATATCGCCGCCATCACGCAAGCGACGACGGCCATCAGAAACTGGCCGACTCCAAAACCTTGCTCCGCCGTCTTCGCAATTCCAACAATCAGACAAGACGTGATGTAGATGGCCAGGCATCAGAATTCTAGGGCATCGGTAGTGATAGCGTTGGTGGTCGACCTCCTCTTGTTGGGGGTATTCACTGGGCCCTCGGTGGATCCCAGCCAAATCGTGTGATGATCGACAGACAGAAAACTGCCAGTAATAATTCGCTGTTAGCAATGTGTCATGGTCAAGATGAAAAGGGGGGCCATGATAGGGTTCGAGGACTTACCATCACGAAGTGCACATCCCGCGGCTTTAGAACAGTCCTCCGGATGCCATATCCACAGGTGTGGCGATATCGGGACTAAATCTGTGCGAAAAGGTCGCCGTCCGACTTCACCCAAGCTAAGTCAATCTCTTGTAGTTGCACCGCGTAGTTCCCACTGCGTGTACAAACTTCAAAGAATTGGTGCTTCCGGACAAGTACCTACGTTGTCGGGTCGGGTGCGACGGAAGTCGGGTTGCCAATTTCGGTCCTCAAAACAGGTTGCCCGTTATCGTACAACGGGCTGCTTCTGGTACCTTGCTTCATGACTGTGGTTCCAAGACCCCTTATCACTGAACTTGAACGCACACTTCTGATTCCTTGATTTTCCATGCCGTAAGTACCAGGATTTCTCGCCTGAATTCCCATTGTCCGCCCACGCTGCCCACTGACACGGCTGGCATATGATTCCTGCAAGGAAAGCTGTCGGGTGTTGCCAGTGATCTTTACAATGCCTGGCACATGATGCAGTCTCTCCAGGAGCTCGTGCCATGCTTCTGGATCGGTATTGTCGAAGTCACCCCAAAGGGGGGCCCCGCAAAACTAAAGACGTAGGTCAGTAAATTTAACTTAAGGAAAGCTTAATAATAGAAGTTGACTGAGGGAACTAACACAACGCCACCTCAGGCGTCTGTAACCCGTCTTGACAGGAGGCATGAAGATGTCGATCATGTCGTAAAGGAGATCATTCAAACCCCAAAAGTCCACTAAAGATCTAAGGGTATCTCCGAGGCTGTCACGTGAGAAAAGGCTGTGTAGGTCCATGTTTCTAGTCGCGGTCGCCTCTGCAACTTCCCGCTCCATTACCACCTCAGAACCATGCCAGTCGTCCTTCGCCGTCAAGGACTCCTCGGTTATCCCTCCAACAACGGCCAAGGGCTTTCCTCCGATTAGCTGCTGTACCACTTGTCGGGCGACAGAGACGGCTTCTTCGAGGTCTGCAAGTGTGTCGGTTCTCTCATATTGACTCTGAAGCCTGTTTGCGAGACTATTCAGATAGGTAGTTTGGTTCGGGTCGCCGTTGGGAGTGACAGCCACAACTTGTCGCGCGACACTGATGGCTTCTTCGAGGTCTACTGTCGCGCCAATTCTATCATACCGACGAGCAAGCTTGTTTCCCAGGTTGTTCAAGCTGCCTGCGTGGTTGGTTTCTTGCGTGTCCTGGTGGTGGCGCCCGAGTAGAGCCTTCGCTTCTCGTCGGGGAGTCTGTTTCTGCGTTTCCCTGGGCCTTAATCATCGCAAATTGACGCTCAAGTGTCCACTCGAAAGGGTCCTGCTCCGCATTGCTTGGCCAAACGATCGCTCGTCGGATTTCATCCGATATCCGGCCCGCCATTGACTCGATAAAGGTTGCCACCCGTGTTGGCATAAGTCTTCAAGGAGCTTTTCAAATAAGCACGGCATTTGGTTTTTTCGGGACTCGAAAGAGCAACAGTGAAGAGATCCCTTAGCACAGAATAGCTGAGAAGAGCACTAGCAACTCCCCTTATGCCGTTGTATTAAATCCTCGCTGAGCCCACGGACGAGTCTGACACCGGAAGAGACTTAATCTCCGAGAAGACGTAGGTAATGCTGCTAGAATCGCTGTCGCTGTCACTGTCGCAGGATTCGTGAGAGACAGGGTATGTACCCGTTAATAGGACTTTTCCTTCACTTCACACAGGCTGGAGTATCGACAGCTGCAGGAATCCCTCAAGGCCAACCATGCCCTCATCCATCAGCTTTCTCAGGCGCAGGTAAAGGTAGCCTACTACGAGGAACTGTGAAAAATGACGGAAAACGCCCGTCAGAGGCACGGATTCATGGAGAGATATGCCCCTGAAGGCTGGAACCATGGAACATCAGCCACTTCGCCTGAACCTTTCCGATGGGGCACGAGATCAGACTGGAATAATACGTCCAAGCTGATGGTTCTTGCAGAGGCATCGCTAGTTGGTGGAAAAGGATAAATCATGTCGTGAAAAGCGAACTGTTTTTAGTGATCTCCAATCGTCTTACCGTTTTCATCACTGTCTCGGCACGGATCGGTCGCATTTTGAAACATGTTGTCTGATTGTGTGTGCCTTTGACTAGGGCCAAGGTATCGACCACTAACTTGGCGCTACTCGAATAAGTAGCGTTTCGAGGTGTGCACTCTAAACCGGGTTCATCCTCAAAGTATGAGACCTCATTAGCCGAGGGCTGCCAAAAGCGTCATTTGAAGCTAAGGTAAAGGAAGAAGAGACCGAACACCAGCTGGAGTTGCCATCAGGGCTAGAGAGAAAGCAAAATGGGGGGTATAATACAGCTGAGGCACACAAGGAATCCGCACATCCAGATCGGCTTTAATATACACCATTATCGTGCAGCTTGTATTCACGCCTGCTGACTCCTTTCTTCTAAACTTGAGGAACAGCCTGAAGATGCCACCGAAAACACAAATTAAATTGAATGGCCTCCTAGACAATAACGGTCGGCGTATTCCGCTTGCCCTTGTCACTGAATGGGATCGCCACTCGGTCCGAGTCGTCTGTCCTTACTGCTCATCACGGCACTGTCACGGCATTGGACGCCTCCCCCGCATCGGCCAGACTCGGGAGTCCCATTGTTATAGGGATGCCGAGGACGTGGGCTCACAGCAATACCAATTATGCTATCCTGATGAGCCTGCGGCGAAAGACTATTTTTACGAGCTTGACAAGGAATGTCATCGATTTCGTACTGTCGGTGTCATGACACCGGACGAAGATGCGGATTCCTCCGACTACGAATATACATCAGATGCAACAGAAGAACATGATGAGATGGATGAGTTGCATCGAGGACTTGAAAATCTGAACATCGCCCGAGAAGACCCCTTGCGACGACAGCAGGATTCGCCAGCTTCTATGGACGAAGCCCTGCGAGAATGGTACCGTGACCCATCATGGAGACTTTCCATGTGCTTCTCTCTGTGCATTACGAATGACATACCTGATGTCGAGCGACTCATAGGCACCTACCGGGATCCTTTGCTACGATCGAAAGACTGGCAAGGAGAGAATTGTATCTCGTTTGCAGCTATCGAAGGTCACCTCGAGATGGTTCAATTGCTTCACAAACATGGCGGAAGCATTCATAATTCCAATAAGAAAGGACGAACACCTCTGATGGAGGCAGTGCTCTGGGGGCGATTGAAAGTGGCGAAGTTCCTCCTCAAACAGGGCGCTGATCCTAACATGCAAGATCGGAAGGGGCGCATAGCTTTGTTTTACGCACTTCCATCGACCATCACAGCCAGAATGCGAGCGACAAAAGATCACTACGTCGAAAGGTCTACGGCGGAAAGTAATCGCAGAGTCATTGCGATCACACTGCGAGCTTATGAGCCGATCACAGCAGAAACTGAGGCAAACGACAATGTGTATGGTGGCGGCGATCGGTTCATTCTTAATACGATGCAGTCTCAAATGACTTTCGTCGAACGCAGCACAACCTACGACATCCCTGATTCATATAAGACGATCGCTAGGCTAGACCGAGGCACCATGTTTCCTATTGTCAGCGCTGCCAGCGGCTGGAAAACGGATTTTGCGATTGACCTAATTATCAATAATCGATCCTGGACAGGGAAAGTCAGGGAGCTCTGTAACGTGCTTGGATACGAGTTGCCTGCAGATGGAAGGGATCGGTCTGAGCCTGTGGGGACGTACTTCGCCTCCCACGCGGAGAAGAAACTTATTGCTTACTACATTGACAAGCACATGGTGCTTCCTTGGGCAGCCTTGAAGTACAATAATCGCAGGGAAGGAGGCGATTGGATCAGGGACAGTACCCAGTTTCAAGATCTTACTGACGTTCAGCCGATGCTGATGAGAGGAAGAGCCAAAATTTCTATCAGTCGATCAACTTGTGCGGACTGCACACGGTTCGTACGCCATGTTGAGCAGAGCTTGGGTTTATGTTTTCAAGTAGAGACCCGCTAGGTTCGTGTATCCGAGAGGCGCTTTCAGCCGGAAGTTTGAGTTTGAGTTATCTCATATGATGACTTAGCTTGTTGTGCAATGGTGGCTCAGGCGCCGTGTTGGATGCCCACAACCACTGCCAGCCCCTTAATTGACTGGTAATGGAATTGCATTGGCACGTTCAGGCCAATTCACGCGCCCATACCTGCAGCCCGACACCACAAATGCAAGACGTGAGACTCTCTGCTTTGGAATGGTTAGTAGATATGACTCTTTGAACTGGCGTCAGTGTGGGTGTCGGGTGTACAATTGAGTCAGATCAACTCAGCAGGGCTTCCTCAGTACCATGAACTTGTTACTGATGGAGCTGAATGAATGGCAAGGCTGTTTTCAAGTATATGACGTAGACTTAGATTTTAGGTGTCTTTGGCTACTTCAATGCTTTGTACGAACAAAGTGGTTATTGCGTCACGAAGATGGGCGAGAATTTGCCAAGAGATCGTACATCGAGTGGCCACTGATTTTCGGCGCCAAGCCCATCGCCTCATTCGAAATCGGATGCTCCACTCCCTCATGAATCCCTTATTGTGGGAAGGTCAGGTCAGAGCGAAACCGAGCGCAATGAACTTCGAGTTGAGCAGTAGTTCAACTCAGAGGTTACTCTTAGTGTCGTTGCCGCTCAAGGGCCTCGCCGCAATGAAAGAGATATTCATTCTCTCCTTCCGCCAGCAGTAGAACTCGACCGTATGTGAATGGGAGGGACTTAGCAGGCGTGGGGTTAGCCTAGACGATGTTTTTCTGGGACTGCGGCTCTCCTTCGCCCAGTGCGACGGGATCTTGGTTGCTCGTGATGCGCCTCCGAAACAGTTTCAAGCCATGCAAGAGGCGCTTACTTTGAAGAACGCAAGCCTTTCGCGCCTTCGGGGAGAACACTCGTTCTCACAAACTGCAACAGGCAATGGAAAGCATGGAAGTGAGGGAGTAAAGAGCTCTTAGTTACAGATTGAGCTGATCAAGAAGGAGAACGTGATCTACTCCCTGCGAGAGCTGTTGGTATATCACTAGGACTGCGCGCCGCCAAGGAGTGCAGGCTGGAGGCGGCCCGTGCGCCTCCCTGCCACTCCGGCGGCCAAGGGCTATATCTGCCGCTCCGCGGCAGCAACCAAACCTAGCCCAAAACATCACCAGTTACTCGCACCACCAGATTCACCGTGAACCGGTATTGCGCGCAACGCCGCGAGCCTTGAAGCTCGCCGCCCCCGGTTTACTCCGGTTATTTATACCTGAGCGAACCGACAAGAGCTCATAGGGGGAGGCATTCGGGCCCTTTCCCGTTTGACATGTTCGTCTGAAGTTCTTTGAAGTATGTACTATTCAGCAAGCGTTATCTACTCTGTACAGAATCTAGAGAAGCCAAGCCATACACGGATTTCTATTTGGGAATTGATACAGCCGCGTCCGGTATTTGATACAGCCGCGTCGGCCTTACAGACGCGTCGCTTTTAAGAGCGCTCATTGGCCAATCCCGAAATTGTTAGTACTAGCAGAATTCTGCCGGAGCTTCCTTGTACCTTGCAGTCGAGCCCTTGTGATTTCAACTTAGCAAGTTCCAATTCCTCTACTCGCCCTCGTTGGCCTATTAACAACGAAATCCATTATGCTATCCTCGACCTCACGACGAACCCGGGCTAGGAGCCCAGGTAGTAGCGAGCAATCCCGGCCACCAAAACGCCCCCGATACACTCGAATTGGCCCCTTCCACCCGCCGCTGCTCGCGAATCGACCTAACGCGAGCCGGTCGGCCATAAGCGAGCCAACGATCACGCGATTGCGTCCGACAAGCCCACAAGACTCGACAAGTAGTAGCCAGGCAAGCGCTAGCCAGTACTATGGCGTCGGCGATGATGGCGTACTTGAGAATATCTTTGCTGCCTACCCACAAACGCTCTCAACACTTCCACGACCTCAAGGCTGGAATGGGCTTAACGAGCCAGAGATGGAACTCCGATTTGACCGGGAAATATACCTTTCTAGAAACTTCCCGCGCGGGCGAAGACGCTCACAGCGAATTCGAGCAGCTATCCCTGGTCGCGAAGTCAGCCGATTAGGCGAAGACCTATCCCCTCAGCCAGCTCTACCTCAGCCAATACAGCCAGTCCGAAATACCCCGAGTCCACCGACGGCAACAAAAGCACAGTTTGAGAAAGCCCTGAAGTTAGTTCGTGACGTTGTTGGAGAGGGACGGAGGTTAACTATCCAGCTTGCCCAATCGTACGAGCGGGTACAACAGTGGCGCGAGAGATGGGGTTGGTCGCCGCTTAGCGATAATGCGTATGATTCTCCTCCTCCGCCGTACTCGCCGCCACAGAGTTCTCTCGGTGAACCTAGCCAGGTAGCCCTCTCAGAGTCAGCCCGATCATTGCCACAAGAGAGCTCTATCGCCGAGCCTATCCAGACAGTCCCTTTAGAATCAGCTCTATCTTCGCCTGGCCAGCAATCCTCGTCGCCTCCTCCAGATATTATTCCCAATCCACCGATCCCCGGCGACCCTTTCCCGACGCTCGAAGCCCTAGTTACGTCAGTCAATACCTTCGCAAAGGCCCATGGCTTTGGGGTAACCAAGTATAACGTCCATTCATATAAAGGACGAAAGAACCGGCTATCTCTTCAATGCGACCGTTATGGTCAGCCGGGGCCACACAAGGGCGTAGGGCTTCGTAAAAGGAAGTCTCGGAAGTGTGGCTGTAAGTGGATGGTAATTGGCGAAGCTATCGAGGAGGGTAGATGGCTCTTACGGCAGCACCCAAACCCCGAACACCACGAACATAACCATAAACCAACCAATACGCCATCTGCCCATCCCTCCCATCGCCGACTTACAAGTCCTATAAGGTCTACTATCGAAATAACAAGCCGGCGACTTGGTATCCGGGCACGCGACGTTCGGGCTATTACCAAGGAGCAGCATCCCGAGACGAATTTCACGCAGAGAGATATATACAACGCTCGGGCTGACATTAACCGCGATAAGCTAGGTGGGCATTCGCCCACCGGGGCCTTGGTTAAACTCCTCGACGAGAACAACATCCCGTACATCGCCAAGTGGGCGGACGACCAACCCAGTCGGCTCGTGGGCCTCGTGTGGACCTTCCCCTATTGTCTCGATATGTGGAAGCGGTTCCCCGAATGCATCAGTTTTGACAACACTTATAACACCAATCGCTTCAAGCTTCCCCTCTTCCAGGCCACTGGTCAGACCTGCCTGGGGACGGTTTTCAATGCTGCCTTTGGCTTGATTGATAACGAGCGACGCGAGGGCTTCCAGTTTCTCGCCGAGGGGATAAAGCAATTGGTCGAGAAGCACTCAATTCGCCAACCTACCGTTATTATCACCGACTTTGACGACGCGATGAAGGCTGCCCTGAATGACCAGTTCCCTGACGCCCAGCAGCAGCTCTGCATCCACCACATCAACTCGAACGTCATACTCAGGGCGAAGCAGAAATGGCTAAAGCTGCCTGTTAGCAGCAGCTCGTCCGATAGTAGTACCAACGAAGAGGATCCTGCCTCTCAGTCGCAAGCCATGCTGAGCGCCGCCGATAAGTCGCTCGTCAATAGCACCTCTACCGACGATATCCCCCATACCTATCAGGGGGTCTTGATCATGTGGAAGTCCGTTCTCTTTGCCGAGACGGAAGAGACCCACGAGAAGGCGTGGAAGGCACTCTGCAAAGAGTTCATGGACCAACGGCCTATATTACGCTATCTATTTGGAACGTATATGCCGGTCCGACTACAATGGGCGCGCTGTTATATTCGCTGGTTTCAGAACTTTGGCATCCGGGTCACGTCAGGCACTGAGGCAAGCAACAACAACGTTAAAAGCTACCTCCTTAATGGCATGAGCCACCTCTACCGGCTCGTAGAGGCTATGCAGGATATGCTGAAAGACCAGGAGAGGGATTTCCGAGACGCTTGCGCAAACGACGAGGTCCTTACTGACCGAGCGTACTTGGGTTCAAGCTCCGAGTACCTGGGGGAGCTCCGAACGGTAGTATCCTCGAAGGGCCTTATGTTAATTCACAGGCAGTACCTTATTGCTCGCAAGGCAATGCCAACGGGGAAGACCCCGTACCCAGAGCCACTTGGCCCTTGTGATAACAACTGCTCGGTCTCGATTGAGCTTGGGATTCCTTGCTCCCACAAGGTCCATGCCAGGATCATGTCCAACGCGCCGTTCACGAAATGGGATGTCCACCCACGCTGGCGGCTCCGTCCATCGAGCTCACGGAACCCATATCAACGAATCCTTGATCCCAAGATTGCCACGTCCCTACGCGGCAGGCCCAGAAACACGGCACAGACTATTCCAGCGCGCATGGCAATCGACGCTTCCAACCATTTTGCTGACTTCCAGCCCAGTCAGCCCTCGGGTCGTAAACGGGGCCGACCGAAGGGGAGTCGTAATAAGTCGACCCTGACAAGGATTGAGAGTCTGGCTAGCCAGGCCAGCCCGGGATTTAGCAGCCAAGTCACCGCCACGAGCCAACCGGCGATCAGTCAGGCCAACGTCGCGACCCAGCCATTATTACGCAGTCAATCAAGGGTGCTTGGGGCTGGAAATACAACGGGGGTTCGTGCCAGCGGGCGGAGAACGCAGCCTAGCATTCGAAGGACAAAGAGTCAATGGGAGATGCTTGAACAGATTGATGGCGAAGACGTATTTGATTCGATTGTAGTAAGAGAATAGAGTGGTATTAAGATTCTACGACTAGATTTCTGTGTTGTATGCCCTCCGAGGTTGACTTTATTAATCCCTGGCTGCAAGTGGGTTGTTAGCAAGCTTCCTCTCACCGCTTTCAATCAAAGTACTTATGCAGCTGAGAGAAACTGGCCCAATGAGCGCTCTTAAAAGCGACGCGTCTGTAAGGCCGACGCGGCTGTATCAAATACCGGACGCGGCTGTATCAATTCCCTAGAAGAAAGGTAAAGAGGTATCTTCACGAGGGTGGAACTTGCTGGGAGATGGTTGACTTTACCTGAACTAATAATGAAATGATTGTCCCAGAACAGGTCCTGGCTGTTGCGCCTGTGGTGCCTAGCAACATACCACATAGAGCAACCCAAGGCCGGTATCTGGTCCCCATTATTCCATCCCCGCCCTGATGTTTTCATATCGGCTGTCGGGATAACAAAGCTGATTTAGGCCCTGTCTTGCATCAAGAGATCCTAAAAGCTCGAAGCTCGTTGCGACCAGGCTATCCTCATCCGTTCTATCGCCACTGACCTCCCAGAACATGGACCCCGAGAGCCCTTTCTTTTTGATGTAAGAAACCTTCGTCCTTAACGATCTCGGCGTGTCGAATGAAATGAATGTTCTGCTTTGATGATCGTAACTAAAAGAAGCCTGGGCTACGTCATCATTGGAGATGGTAGCGCCAGGATGAGGGAGGACCTTGTAATCCCATACGCCGTTTTCCCACGAACCCCCACCTATTCCTGAGAATGGCTTCCCTAGCCCGTCCGTGTTCTGAAAAGCACGGCCATACAGCGGCATGCCGAGGGCTATCTGAGAAGCGGGGACTCCGGCTTTGAGGTAGGCCGTGATGGCAGCATCTGTAGAGAAGGGAGTCGCCGTGTCATTTACCGCATTTGGGTAGAGGTTTGCCTGATGAGCGGAATAGGAGTCCCATGCGCCAGAATAATCATAGGCCATCAGATAAAAGGTATCGACAATGCCCGAAATCCTTTTAAGATCGAGCTTCTCATAATGAGTCTGCCCAGCGGGCGACGCGATCGTCAAGAGAAAGTCGTAGTCGGGGGAGTACGTCGACTTATATACATTGAGCTCGTTACGCACTGCAGTCAACAGGAGAGCGAAGTCTTCCGCCTCTCTCTCGTTCCGTGGGTATTCCCAATCGATGTCAATGCCGTCGAATCCCCAATCCTTCATTAGGGCCACGGAGGACTGGGCGAATGTCAACCTGCCCGCCTCCGTGCTCGCCGCGATGGGAAAGTTGGTGGACAGCGTCCATCCGCCAATGCTTAGCATGGTTCTCATGTGGCGATTTGATTTCTTCAGGAGGAATAGCTGTTTGACACAGCCATAGGCATTGAGCCTGCTCTCGTTCCATGCTGCCAAGTTGGTCAGTGTCATGTCATGGCAGTGGATAGTGACTTACAGTCGGTCGGATAATGTTTCTCCAAGTCGGCATAGGGATCTTCGGAATAGCTAGCAACCAGTCATTTCCAGTGTTCGCCCTCGACACAGACTGATGGAACCTACACCTCCCCTGACGGTCGCAGATTCAAGAAGGCGTATAGAACATGGGTGACCTTCGTGGCGGGAAGGTCCTGGGGATGGTAGTCTCGCCCATAGATTGCCCTGATAGCATGTAAATGGTTGTCAACTATTCTTCAAGTAAAAGATTGGCTCACCAGTTCGGGAAATAGATTGCATTTTGATAGCAGGAGGATACCTTGGCCCATGCCAGCAGTAAGAGAAGTGCGCGAAAAGTAGCCGCCATCTTGAAAGACAAGGATGCAATGTCAGTGAGGAAGGAAGATCGATGGCTCTGGGTATGAAGTGATGCTAGATGAGATAAAGACAGCAGAAGGTCAAGAAACCAAAGTTACTCGCCATTTTGGTCCTGAAGCTTGGCCCCTCAATAGGCCTGGAACGCGAGCCAGTTGATTAGAGGAGGAAAGACCGTGTTCTCGTCCTACTCCTACATTCCTGAGACATTCCATGAACTGAATATTGACAGAGCCGTATGTGACCCGGCTTGCTATCCGTGTGGACTCAGCCGTCTTATAGATGCATCGCCATCAGTAGACTACTGCACATGACCGTACTTATAGGCTTGGACGCTACATATCGTGCTGTCACCATAATTGCAGATAGATCTCGTATACAGTACTGCTTTGTATTGTACAACGCTGAAGCGTCTCTAGCACATTGGCCAAGCCGGCTTTGTCCAGAATCTAACTGTTGGAGGGCCCGGAGAGTCTGGACACTTGAAAGGACTGTATACCTGGCTGTAAACCTGAGCATTCATGCGATGTGGCCAAATTCCACCTGCGAGCTCCACCTTTCCTGTGTCCGGCAATTCAAAATGAGTGATTCCCACCTTCTCTTCACCACTTTGCAGGCACTGGTCTTTGTGTGCGAATACCTCGTCGCCAGGGAGTTCGATTAACGAACTCGTCGGACTCTCGAAATCGACCCTCCTGCCGCTGACATCGGGGGTGCTACTATGGTGGCGATGAAGAGTCTCAAAAGGACTCAACATTGGACGCAGGAAGCCCCTCAAGAAGCCTTTCACACCGCCACAGTACTGCCTGGAGCAGATAAAACGGTCTAGAGTGTCATCTGGTCCAGAAATTTGCTTTCTAGACGACCTTCGCTTGCAGCACAAGCAACATTCTAGTCGAAATAGTCGGCGCGGCTTCATGATGAAGCCGTCAGGGCATGCGCTGGAAAGTGAATACGGGTAGGACATCTACTTAGGGTATAAGCGCCTTATGTAGTGGTGGAGGAATGGCCCAATTCTTGTCTCAGCAGACATTCACGTCGAGGGCCTCTTTCCAGGCCGCCAGACTCATGCAGAATACAGCAATCGCACATATAGTAGGAGTCCCAATACCAATAAGGTCCGCTCGCTCTTGACTTTCTTCTTTATAGCATTATCGCTATGAAGCTCCGTAGCCCGACGTTCTGGCTGGGACTCAGCTCTTACGAGAACACCACCGACCTCGTAATCTCCAACCGGCCTCGCCAGGTCACAGCCCAGACCTCGCGTCCAGATGCCCAGCAACCGAGTTTGCTTGTCCTAGTCGGTCACAGGGCCAAGACGGCCGCGCTCCAGGAGCTGTTTGGCGTGAAAAGAGCCCAGCAGGCGGGTTCGCCGCCAGAACCTGCGGCGATCCACCTACATCTTGCTTCTCAGAGTAGCTTTTACGACAGGCCACTACTGATAGCCGAAGGTGGATTTCCTGATGAGTATTCCGAAACATTCCCCAAAGCCTACCCGCAGGACGTGAGAAGGCGAACTCTCATGAGGCCAACACAGCCGGATGCGAAGGACCATGCTGCCGACGAGCTCTTTAGCCGCCTGCTTCGCCCCTTCAGCGACGTTTTCTGCTTCTTCTCCGATGACCTCGGTGGCCTGGAAGGGGTCGCGCGACATCTCATGACGTGGCTGGACCGAGGCGATTCCTCCCAGGGTCTAGCGAGCACCCACCCGAGGATAATCATCGCGACTTCAACGGTTCCCCATGGGGCTGAGAGCGAGAGAAGGGCAAAGATAGACCTCTTGGAGATCCTGGAGAAAGGAGCAGGGAAGCACCCTTTGACCTTGGCTTCGCAGATCGAGGTAGTGGCCCTCTTTCCCCACGCCCGTATATCTGCCACTGCCCGCCACAGAGCCCTGAAAGAACGCTTGATGAGAAGCTCGGATGAGGTGCGCCAGAGCAGGGTAAATACGCGATGCTTATTTTCGATCATACATTTCGCTGCATTCCTGGACATGGCATGTGATTATTTCGCGGACACTCCCGATGACACTTTCAATTTCATCCAGGGATCTAGATATCATAGCCCCGTTCCTGCGAATTTAGAAAGCCACATTGCCAACTTTCTACGCCATGTCAAGTCACCGACGGACATGACAAACTTTGCAGTGCCCCTAATTGGGTCGAGTCTTTCCCTGGATGCTTATCCACCTGGTGCACACTGTAAGTAGGCCCGGAAGGCGAACGGCTTGCCGAAGCTGACAGAGATCTAGTCTTCGATCCTGTAGATGTCTTTAAAGACCTATATAACGGCATGCTTCACCGGGTGTTCTCGGATGAGGCAGTGGATCTTGATGGATTTTCCACGGGGAGTGGGCTCGTCCGCCAGATCGAGGCTCACTTCGCGGAATGTTTCAGGGGACTTACCCGGGAGTCAATTTCAGCTTCAGACATGCACCTGCGCTTGCTCAAGAGCTTCAAGTCTCGCTGGCTTCAGGCTCATAGCACCCGCGTGTGCTTGTCCTGTTTGTCCCACATTCCCCAACACGGTCTGCCTTGCGGGCACGTTCATTGCGACAATTGTGTTTGGGACTACGGACGCCCGTCTGATAAGGACCCCTGGACTACCCTGTATAGTGAATGCCATCTTTGCGACAGCTTGTTGCCCGAGGAAGCTGTCATCCGAAGGCATCCACCTACGGCTGGGGTGGGCGTGTTTTGTCTAGACGGCGGCGGTGTGCGCGGTATTGTATCCCTGGAGATCTTGAAACGCATCCACGACTCGATCAAGTTGCCGATACCATTGACTCGGTTTATTAAAGTATTCTTTGGGATCAGCTCGGGTCAGCGCCCCTGCCAAGTCGTCCCGACCTAGACTGACATTTTCCAGGCGGTTTGATCACGGCTGAACTTTGTCTTAACGGATCGACGGTAGATCAAGCAATCAAACGATTCAAGAAGCTGGCCAGGCGAGTGTTCCAACGCCGTCGTGGCTTGCGGATTCCATTCGTCCCTTCATTCTTGAGGGAATGTGTTGGACGTCTTCTCGACCACTTCGCTCCTTTCTCATCTTTCACTCGGCTCATCAACCTGCTGATATGGTTATGTGCGGATGGTCAATACTCCCCCAAAACTATAGAGGAGGCTCTCCGGCTCACGCATAATGCCAGAGGCATGCTTGATATTTCTCATGCAAGTTCCACCGGGACACGAGTGGGCCTGCCTGTGGCCACAATCGACAAGAAGCCTCTGGAGAGAATATTCACCAATTACAACGGCGTTGGAACGAGACAGGAAGACCAAGGTATGTCCATCGGATTCTACTTTAGCTTCCCAATCACGGAGGACCGTGGATCTGATAGATTCAAGACTATGTAGTTAGGCCGAGAGAGGGATTAGGAAACGTGCCTGTGTGGGAAGTGTAAGTGGCCCGAGGCAATACCCTGGACCTGACTGACACGGACTACAGCGGGAGAGCTGCTTCTGCTGCTCCTGGGTACGTAGGAAACGTCGTCTATATCGAAAACACTCGTTCCATACGGACCCCAAGTTGACGCGTTTCCAGGTTCTTTCCCCCGAAACATATCCGTGGCGTTGGCTCCTTCCAAGACGCCGGCCCGCTCGTCGACCCGACCCTCTCCGCACTCTGCGAGGTAGCGGCCCTGTTCCCTCTCCTCAACGAAGCCGATTACATCGTCTCCATAGGCACGGGCGAGAGTCAGCCCAGTAATTCCGCGGCGACAGATGATATGCGTAACGTGTGGGGAAATGGGGCTGTCCCAAGGCTCGGACGACTCTTTTGGGAGAAGATGAGTGACAAGAAGGTAAGGCAGGTATTCCAGATGCGATCCCGGTACCACCGCCTGAACGTCCACTTTGAGGGCGATGAGCCGATGCTCGACAGCGCAACCTCCATGCCGGAGATGGGGAGAAAAGCGCGGAACGACCCATCGTTGGCCGAGCCGATAGCTCACCTATGTCGTTGCATGGTTGCGTCTCTATTCTACTTTGAGTTGGATGCTCTACCCGAACGACTTGGAGGGCGATACATCGGTACTGGGACGATTCTGTGCACAATCCGAAGGAGCGAGCAGGGGTTTCAGGAGCTATTCTCCCTCATGTCTGACAACTCGGCGCAAATTGTGGTGAATGACATGCCCTTATCCGCAGTCAATGACCCGACGTGCTTTGACAAAGAGGGAAACTTCCGCAAGGTAGTCGAACTAGACACGTACGGAAAGCTCACAATAGCCCTAAGGGAAGGGACATCAGCAGCCTGCCATATCAGCAACTCGCCATTTACCATAGAACGGTTGGTGGCGCTCCAAGGGCTTGATGCAGTCTTTGGAAGAAGGAGTTGCCGCAAAAGAAGGTACAAGAGAAAGGGTGCGTACCTAGAGAACGGCCCTCAAAAGAGACGCAGAGCGGATTGAAGAACTATAGTGTTAGATTAAGTTGTGCTCCGTCGGATTTCCAAGTTCACATGCCTCAGGGGCTGGCTTCCTTCATTTCATGAATTGCGCTGTGCGCGAGGTTCAATAGTTTGTTCGAAAGCTATCTACTCATGCATATATCGTGTTATGACTCCCCAGGGTCAAAGAGTGCTGCCTTGACTCGATCCCGCAAACTTGGTTTTCCATCCAACTTGTCCTCCAAATTGCTCCTCATGTGCTTGGCTATATGTTGAACCTTCGGTGGTGGCTGAGGTGGCGGCAACTCCTGCTCCTGTCTTATCTGCTGAAACGTTGTTTCAATGGTTTTCATCCTCCTGTACAGGTCGTCATGCATGCCCACTACTCCGTCTCGGTCAGCCCTCTGGGCTCGACTTTGGTGCTCAAGCTTGAACCGAAGTTTCTCATTTTCTTTGCTCAGAGCTCTGTTTGCCTCCAATGTACCGTGTAGCTTCTGTCGAGCGAGGCGTAGCTCTTGCCTGTAGACTTCGCATTGGCAAGGCGGCCTTTCGTACTCATCCACTGCGTTGTAAACGTCCAGGATCATGTACGATATCTCGTACAGCTTCCGGCGAGTCTCGTCAAAATTGGTTTCCCCTGTCCGATCCGGGCGAGGTGGGCATGGTTCTGTCTCGGTCTGGACAGTCTAGATATGTTAGGGCATCATCAATAACCGGGTGTAAGACGTACCTGAGATTCATTTTGGTTCATTGTGTGGATCGTTTGGCGCCGTAAAGGTTGTGCTGGTGCCAGCATCCCCTTCAAGTATCGCCAGAGATCAGGCAAGCCAAGTGAGGGTTCCGCTCCCTCGCTAGAGCCCATTCCAGGGACTTCCTACGTGATGGATTCAGGGCCCGCAAGAAGTCCCACGTAGTGTGGGGTGTCCACCGCCAATATTCGTCCACATTCTAGGCCCTGGTCTGTGGTAGATGATATATTTGACAACCATCTATTCAGGGCAATCAAGGGGACTGCCTAACACGGTGCTCCCTCGTGCTGGTGCACCCGTACCATTCTTGACCATGCATCTCCGAGCCACGATTATCGCGACAATTGTCTTGCGTCTTTGTCAAGCCGCGCATGACAGAAGGACGTTTGCCCTCCTGCAGTTCAATGGCCACGAGATTGTTCAGGGCCGGATTGACCCCATCGTGTTTCCCAACCGCGTGTCCGAGCACGTCCACGGAGTCATGGGCGGCAGTGCATTTGCGGCTGATGCCACCGGCGAGAGCATGACGCGGTCCACGTGCACGAACGCAAAGGCTGCTGACGATAAAAGCGCTTATTGGTTTCCGTGGCTCTACTTCCATGATCCTACAACCGGAAGGTTTGAACCAGTCGACATTGGCTACGTCAATGTTTATTACTTGTAGGTGGATGCAGCAGACGGTCTGGGTCTGAGGGTTGACTAGGTCTAGCTTTGAACCGACGGACGACAATATTATGGCTTTCCCTCGTGGTCTCCAGATCGTCAGTGGCAACGCTACCACTCGAATCTCGCCAGGAACTCGCGGAAAGCTCAACTTGGACCCGGACGCCGGAGAAATTCAACCAGTGCAGTGGACCTGCCCTCGACGGCAGAACCTCTTCGAGCCCCCTTCGTGGCCTCCGGAGTCTGACGGCTCTACAGCAGGCGAGATGGACCCAGACAACCCTGAAGCCGGCACTGGATTTCCCCACGTTGACTGTGACGGTTTCGCGTCTCCCTTGCGGGCGGACATTCACATGCCGTATTGCTACGACCCCAGCAAACGGCTTGATGAGTACCAAACAAATATGGCGTTCCCTACCATCCAAGGCACGAAGTACAACTGCCCGCAGGGGTGGGTCCACGTCCCACACATGCAAGTCGAGGTCTATTGGAACACGCCAGCATTCAAGGGCCGCTGGCATCAGGGCCAGGGCATTCAGCCATTTGTCCTATCCAACGGGGATGTTTCTGGCTACAGCTCTCACGCAGACTTTCTAGCGGCGTGGGATGAGAACGTACTCCAGAACGTCATCAACACCTGCAATGCGGGGTTTGAGGGCATTCACTCTTGCCCGGGTGTTACGCCGAGTACCGTTGACAACTGCAGAAGTGAAAGCAGTCCGCTCATAGATGAACTTCTCACGGGGGTTCTCGACACATTGCCTGGGAACAGGCCCCTCGGGGGGTGGGGCTTGTGATTTGATGTCCACTTCTGTAGCTCAATCTGTGAAAGGGAAGGCAGTCATGAAACGCCTTTGTACCGATCACCTGCCTGGTTATAGTCCTATCACGAAACAAGTAGCTATTGGCTTCGCGCCACCCTGCATGCCCAATACAGTATCAGCACATATTACATTCTCTTGAGAACATGTCGGAGATATGCCGGTATAGTGGCTTCCTTAAGTCCCACCTGTAGCCGGTTCAATGCTTCCGAGAGGGCTTGATATTCTGTCTAAGCAGGACAGCATCCTGTCCACAGTGACCGCTTCGATCAGAATAACTGCAGCGGCGCAGCACGGTAGCTGCCGCACTGCGGTGTAATGTGTTGTGCCTGAAATAATAGTCAGTTTCGTCCCTAGCCAGCCCTTTAGCGTCGTGCTGCGTGATAATTCAGTGCCAGGGCCTACATCGTGGTCATGGCATAAAGGCCTTAAAATGGCACAAACATGCCATTCGAGTCTCAAATTCAGTCCTTTCATCCAAGATGCGCTATATATAGAGCGTGAACCCTCCATAATGTGGCACGATCATATGATACAGTACTTACAGGGACTTCAAGCCGGAACGTACCCAATGGAATCCTGGGACGCATCACGGAATTTCCAGCAAAGGCTTTCCAGAGCCATCCAGGCTCTTGCTGCTTCCCAGCACCTTGCCGGGCCCAGTGATCAGGGCGGACCCTTAGCGGAGGAGTCGTCCAGTCGTAAAAGAGGTCACTCCGGCGATATTGACGATCATCATGCTAAACGCCAGAGGCCCGTCGATGCAAGCCGCAAGCGCAGGCTCTCTCTTGAGAGCGACGGAGAGCACCAGGTCAAGCGCCAGCGATATAGCGAAAACCTTAAAGATGGCCTCGATGCCAGGCTAGAGCTATTTTCACTGCTCCAAGAGTGTAAAAAGAAGTCTCAGCTGATTAGCATTTTGAGCCAAATACACCGGAATGAAATGACCCTGGCCATGGCACTGACTGATGCTCCAGAGTCGCTGAGGCGCCAGGCTGTTTCGGATTTGGAACGACGACAACCTGCTGCGCACGCCCGCATCATCAAAAACATGCTTCAGATACAGCAGTCCACGCAACGTTTTGACCCTCAGTCCATTTTCCCAGTTCTGTTCCTGCATGAAGTTTTCGGTGACAAGAATTGCTTCGTCTGCCACGAGGTCTTTCACATCTGGGAAAATGTTGTCGTCAAGCGCTGTAGCAGATGTCTGATGCACCCGCGCTGCTTAGCCAACGAAATCCTGTCGTCGAGGCTCCCTTTGAATGGAAAGTGCCCATGCGTTAGTGATATGGAATAGCAGCGGGATTAGACCTAGGGAGGGGCCTGAGGTGAATAGCCGCAGGCGGCGTAGACAGTCGTGGTATGGCCTCGTCTAGTCGGTCAAGGCGCTGAATGTAAGGCTCAGAGTCTTAAGCGTCACGATAGTAGGACACATCTCGGGTCGAGAAATGCTGAGGTATTGGGCTATGAAATGCAGGTGCCATGAGTAACGAGTGGAAGATTAAGGCCGTAGATGTTTTGTTGGTTGGTGCGCGGTTCTTTATGGGGCCAGCAACCCATCAAGCTCAACATTTCTAAACTCTCAGCTTCACCATTTGAACTCTTGATCACTAGCCAGGTACAAGGCGTCTGGGGGCACGCATGCGGGAATCAGGCTATCACGTATCCAGGGTTGAATAAGAAGGAAGACATTCCTGGCTCAATGACCAATTTAAAAAGAAGCACAACAGAATTAGCCATTTCTACCTATATCCATGAATCCCTAGACAGGTTTTCCGTATTAAGTGCAGTAAGCTACCAAACAGATGCAGAGGCCTATTCAGATAGGAACTTGGAGCAACCGCCGACACAGCAGCCTTTCCGTGTCAAAGTCGATTTGACAGCATATCGATCGATGCATGGATCCAGTGACCGTAACTTCCATTGATTGATCATCAGACTTCCTCTTGCTTCCATCATATCTTATAGCATTTGACACCGGTGACGTTCTGTGGTCTATCAAAGGACACTGGAAAATGCGTTGTGAAGGCGGGGACCGTTTCGTAGTTGAAATGGCCATGATTGATCTCCACATTACACTGAACCAGACCGAGGCCATTGTTGCTGACGACTCTCCCATTACACGCCATGAAACGTACCTTCTTAGGCTGAGCACCGGAATTTTTAACCTGAATGTCCTCTCGATGCCGGGTGTCGTCAAGCATGAATTCAACCCGCACTGAGCCGGCCGGCGGGTTGCTTGGGGTAGAAGGCTGTCGCGAGTAAGTGGTAGACGCGGCGGGGGATGTGGAGGTGGAGTGTGGTATCATTGAGGACAAGACAGTCCAATCTTTGGACGAGATGGCTTTGTCCGGGCCTAAGACCGTGCTCGAAGATTGAGCGGGGTGGTCTACTGTAGGCCTACCAAGGCAGCTACAGCTTGAGGTGGGAGAGGGGAGAACAATCTGACTGCTCTCACCGTGACTCCCTGCCTCAGAATAGAGGGTACTGCTGCAGTCAGACTGAGCCTGGACCCGAGCAAATGCGGCGGCCAAAGCCACCATACCAATCACGACAGACCTCATTCTGGCTCGTAACTGTGTTGAGGAGTGTTGCTCTAGAACGATGAGGGACGTGATGGTTGGTAGGCAAGCTCGGCTTAAGTATTCCTGGCACCACATGGAGGGATATTGGACCAAAGTCAAGGCTCCGTGAAAGGAACAAAGCTGGGACCAGCGGAAACTAGGATTGTGTCGTGCCGTTCACTTATATAAGGAAGCGTGCCGTCTGTGAAAGAAATCTCATCGGGTCATTGAACTCTACGATGTCACATGGACTTTTGCTGCGCCGTATCCTACAGAGACTGGAATGGCGCCTCTCCTGTCGACCTACTGTGGCGCCCTCGAGCAATCACCGTCTAGGCCACCACGCGCATCGGCCCTAGTCATCACTCCGATAGTAGCCGGGGCTCTTCTTGTAGGCTTCATCATTGCCTATCTTGCACGATGTCGAGCCAAGAAAGTCCTGTTCTTGAAGGCTCGCCAGGACAACCCTTGTTTAACGTGGCACGCTTTCACACGAATTCAGAGATTGACCCCAACGCAGCGCTGGGATGAGTACAAAGTGCAGCGTCGTGAACTGATCCATAAATCTTTGGAAGCAAAGGCATATGATAAAGTCAAATCTCATTGACGGGGACATTCTGGCAGATGGTGTGAACACATGAAAGGTCATTCCCGTGGGCATGCTCGTTGGTGCACGATGTGATAGTCCTCGGGTGACGGGTCAGTCTGCCTGAATCAAGGTCCAAACCCTATTTTGGTCGGCCAGATTCCAGTCCTCCAGGATCCACAGCCTCTTTCAGGTCCAAGAACTTGACCATTAATGGAAACCTCCAGCTGCCGCGAGTCCGGAATCGTCTCCGGCATTCCAGCGCTAACCCAGTGCGCTGTGGGTGCAGGGATGTGCCCCGCCGGTGCACAGCCCATGGTCCTCTGAAAGGACGTGATAAAAATAAATGCACGCCTGGTCCATTCACGGACCTGCAATCGTCGAGATCATCGACTTGATCATCGGCTCCAGTGATTGAAGATATAAGATCAAAATATGGGCTGCTCTCAACCGTTTCATTCTAAAATGGCAGATTCTTTGCTCTGCGACTTGCAGACACATGTTTGCCTGCCTGCCACTGCGTTTTAGTATCTATATTCCCTTCTTTGTTGTTACCCATCTTCACACAACTGGCAGCCCGCACCAATGGCTCCATCCTCGATAGTACCAACGCCAAGTGCTTCCGCACTGATAGTCTGGCACACCGCGTTCAAGTCGCCGAAGTGGAAGAGAGGCGATTTCGCTACGCGCCAGACCCTCAACAATGTGACGAGCATGATCAAGTGGCACTTGCTTGGAAAGATTGAGGCCGATGAGATAATACCGAGACGTCCTGTTCCTGCACGACCCCGCAGCAAGCAATGGTGCTGTGGAATACCATCCACTGATACACTACCGACTACGAATATACATGAGAATAGCGAGGCAAAGATCGACTGCTTCCATCTGCAGAACCCCCAGGCGCGTCTAGCATCTTCAGATGTCGCAGCGACCCTTGCAGCAGATGCGACGCTTTCCACACTACCGCTCCAGCTTCCCCATCGTCTATCGAAAGGTCAGTGTCGGCCGACACACCGCCCTGTCCCTTCAGAGGATGCTGAGTTTATATTCTTCCACTCGACACCCTGCACCATGAACATTCCGACGTTCAGTCATGGCCGCATTCGAATCCCCAAGCCCGAGTCCATACTTTGTGCAGACGTCATGCCTGATAAGACCCTAGACTGGACGGCCTTTCAAGTCGCCATCCTTGGCGGGGCAGGTGATCTCGTCTCGGGCGGCTCAGACCTCACGCGCCGCACCGATGATGATGAGCTTGATGAGATCACAGCCTGGTTCGACGATTTCGGCTTTGAGTCGGCCGGCAGACTTGTGCGCGCCAGACGTTCCGCTCCAGCCGGGTTGCCGAGTATGGCGCAATCCAACGCGAGATCTATTGGGATCAGCTCTACCTCCCCAAGTGCCACCAGCCCGGATGCGGAGGTTCCCATCCCGTTGCCGGGGGGGCTGCCGCGGGGATTTGAGGAAGCCGCTTACTCGCCGACGATTTTCAGGGACGAGCCCAATTGTCAGATACAATCGTCGACGCCAAAGAGACGATCGAAGACGGATTGCAGTAGCGACCGAGACAGCGAGTGGTGGAGCCCGCCGCAGAGTCCCATGATGGAGCTCGCTTTCTTAGGCCATGGCGACCACCGAGACTTCGTTCTAATGGGTTACAATCTTGGGCATGATCTCAATGATTTTCTGGAGTGGGAATCGCATCAAGCATGCGGCTGGAGATAAGAGTAGGATTTGTATTACACATGTGTAGTAGTTGCGGCGTCGTGGGCATCATTCAATTCCATTAACACCCATTACCATTGGTCGTCCGCCTATCCATGCTTCAGCGTTGCTAGATACACACTTTGACCTAGAGTGGCCGGTGGATGAAGATGGCGGTTACTAGCGGTGCAAGCACCCAGAGAAACGTAATGTCAAAGTGTGATGAGGCGCCCGTTGCGAAAGACGGCGTGGCAGCCGTCGGTTGTTCTTCGATGGCTTCGCTCTGCCTCGGGATAGTGCTATTGGACGCTTCTCCAGGCCCGGTGTCATGATTTGGGCTTCCTATTGCGGATGACGAAAAGTCTCTCGACCTGGTAGGAGTGGCTTCAACGGAATCGGCTATAGGGTTCGTAGCAGGATCATCCAGGTTGATTGACTCTGTGCGTTCCCTACTTTGACTACTCTGACTCAGCTCGACTCCAGTTGCGGCGCCTTCGGGTCTAGACCCAGGCCGTCCTGAGTCAATGGAAGTCGTAGCCGAGCTGAAGGTTACCTCGGGAGCTGGGTCATCGAAGCCAGCAGTCTCAGGACGTTCGTCTCGATCTACAGAAGTTGATCCTGGCTCCGTCATCGTCTCACTGGGTTCGTCTTGGTTTACAGGTGGTAATGTTGATTCCGTCGTTGTCTGGGTTGCTTCGTTGCCAGAACTGGAGAAAGTTGGCCTGCCAGAGCGGGAGACGTCCGAGCTGGAGGTCTCCTGAGGAAGGACTATGGTATTGACTCCGGAAGTCTCCTTGGTACTCGGTGTCGGTGCTGGCGTCGAGTCGATCGGCTGGACGGATGTGGTTGTTTCGCCGGGTAGTTGCGTTTCTGTCTCGGTGACGAGCTCTGAAGTGGCAATTGCTCCAGAGGGAGTATCCATCCGCGACGTAGAGTTCGCCGGGACCGGCTCCAGGCCCTTGCAGAAACTCAGAAACTGACCAAACTTCTGGTCGACATAGAGACGGCGGATTAAAGGGCCATCATCTGCATTTGAATCGATACAAGATATGCACAGTTGGAAGTCCTGCTGAAACTGCGAGTCGGCTACGCAGAGGGCCGGAGACTTGCCCACCGCCAGTGCTTCCTTGTAGCAGTTGTTGCAGTCGTCAAAGCACACCGCAGGAGCCGTTGGTGCACCATCTTCCTGGCGCCGCTCATGGTTTGGCAGTCCACGCATAGGGGGTGGCTCGTGTTGCACGGCGAGAGGCGAAGGGGCTGGGATCACTGAGAGATCCGTCGCAGAAGCCCAATTCCCGGTTGTGATGGTGTATGTCTTGCCATACTCATTCTTGACGATGGTGTCGGATTCGAAGATGGAGTATGGGAGACCAAAGGCATGTGCGTTAAGGTTGAAGTATCCCTCATCCAACGGGACGTGTCCCGTTTCACCCTCCGGCCAGTGGACTCTTGAATAGGACGGAGAGTGGACACAGTACCTCAGCTCACATACGTAGTCGTCGGCCGGAGAGTCAGCCCAAAGGTTGCATCCCAGAGGCTTCGGCGGGTCACAAACAAAGCCAGGCACGCAGCCGAAGGTTCTGTTGGAGTTCCGGTCGTACGGGCTTTCCAGATCGTTGCTCGGGGTAGTTGTCGGAGCAGGGCATGCCGTGATGGTGGTGGCAGTCGAGGACGAAAGGGACGTATACGCATTCGCAGAAGACTCAATCGAAGGGAGCAATGTGCTGGTGATGACTTGCGTCACACCATCCGTCGAACGATCCGTCGAACGATCTGCCGACGTAGAGACTTGGACGTGAGTTGTCGACGCAGCGTTTCCACCCGTCTCCACGGCGGCCGTCGCCCAGACTGTTGTCGTGTAATAAGCGCAGTCCGTCTGCTGGTCCAGGATACCCAGCTCAAGGTCGACGAGCTCTTGATCAACGCCAAGGGAGAGGCCATATACGGTCTTGGGTGCGCAACTACCATAGGTCAGAACAATGCGTAGTGATTCTCTAAGTATCGGCCTGAGACTCACACAGATGTAGTGATCGTGGCCGGATAGGATGTAATCCCCGAATTTACGACGCTCTGGGTCCCATGCTCCGTGGTGGTGTATTCATTCGTGACATAGACGGTCGAGATTGCGATCAGGGTGATGTCCTCAGTTGTCGGTTCGCTAGTGTAGATGTTAGCGATGTGGTTGCGTTCAAGGCCGCGGTATATCAGCTCACTACATGGTTGTGGCAATTTCCTTGGTTTCGGTGACCGTTCTGGTCTCTGTGACCGTCTCTGTCACATACGTCGTCTCGGGAGAGCTTGGAAGGATCAGCGGCAAGTCCGCTGGTGCCATTGGCGTCTATTTCAACGGGTGCGATACTTACCACTGCACTGACGCGGGCGTGGGAGTGTAGCGAGCCCTGACGGAACAGTAACCGACACACAGGTCATATTGGGGTGTTGAATCGACAAGAGCCGCGAACGCGCCGACGACCAGGATGTACCATCTCATTGTGGGCGACTTCTAAGTGTGCATACCACAGGCTAGGGACAAGAACGAGGCGGAATGGGCTAAACAACGGCGCCTGATATTTCCTATCTTATGTACGTCCGGTGGCGACGTTGCTGCGACGCATAGTAGACGTGAGCTTCCGGGGACCCGGGGACTTGGCCGAAAGTTCGTCCAGACTCGACAGTCTGTTCACCGTGATCGCGATCGTCAGGGAATATTGGTCCACTCGTAATCATACTCCTCTGCGCTGTGCCGCTCTCAGCCTGCTTCTCCATTGTGTTGGAGCATGGAGCCCTGATGCCGGCCCAAGCTGCCTGTCCATATGGCACGGCTCAAAGACCTTCACTTGCCGAGGATGGCTGTACGTGAGGATGATGGCCCGAGATGAGTGATTCCGGGATGTATAATGACCGTGGCTAGGGTCTTCCACGCGGGGTTTTCGTGAAAGGTGTGTGGGACGGAAGGAATACGAACAGGAACAGCCATGATTTCTTGACTTGAAGCCCCATATGAGATTGTGGGGATCACATCAGTATTCCTGATGTTCGTCGCAGGCGTCGAGTTCGTCAACAATAGCCGGGTGGCGTGCTTCATGCCGCCATTCGCGGATAGATATCACCCCTGCCCTGTTGTTGTCTGAATCGGTTCCTTTGGACATGGGTTGAATGAAGACCGACGAAGGCGGGGGTCGAATCACCTCAGGCCCCAGTATCGCCGCGATGGACAGAAGCGCGGTTGACGATAGTAGAGGACGCTGCTCCATCGCCCGAAGAGAGAGTCCGGGCTGGCCCAAGGGGCCCCTAACCCTTGTCATCCGGCAAGCGAGGTCATTGCTCCTCTCACGCGAGTCAATACACACTACCTTGCGCTTCGGGCTGCCTAACCACCATGTCTCATCGCGGCAATCGGAATGGCAGTCACATCTTTGCGTTTGCGCCATCCGTTTGGCGCGAGGGTTGACAATGGTGAAGGAATACGAGCCATGATGGGCTCCCCTGTTCCATTGGCCGAAGATCGGCTATTCATTCTCAAGAGAGAGAGGCCAGGAAGCTTCAGCAGAGGGGTTAGAAATTGGACGAAGTTGGATGTCGTTGATATTACGATGCGCATTACTTTGGACCGTTGTGACAGCCCCGCCATGCTCTCAATAGCAGCTGGTTTGACGCCCACAAGCGTTGTTTTCCTGACAAGTCCCACCCTGTCCACATCGATCTTATCCTTCTCAGGAAACGAAGCTACTGTCCCGTGACTTCCGCGATGCACGACCGGGGCCTTGCGCCTCAACGACAGCAAATACAAGGGTAGGCTGTCCTGACTCGATCCCTGCGAGCGCTTTGCGGCCCTGCCCGTTTCCCGATCTGCCGACGTTCACATTGACCAAGGGTTCTCGTCCAAAGGCTCTCAACCTGATCTTACTTCATCATACAGGCTACGGTCCATCAACCATCAAATCTGGCATTACTCACGCAGAACAGTGTCACGCGGCATGCTCGTGGATCTGCCGAGATCATGAAGAGCTGGTCGTCATGTTCCATGTCCAGCTCATCTCTCCTTGCTCAGTACGATCAGGAGCACTCTGTACCTTCAACAGCCGCTATCTCCGGCGGGATGGTTCTCGACCTGGGCCAACCGGGTTGCCATGGTCTCTCACAATCTTCTCCAGGCCCAATGTCCAACAGTCCGATTCGCGGAGATGGCCGCATGGATGCTCCGGGCAAGCCTTTCCGCGTGGAGTGGTCTCCCCACCTGGCCTTCCTTTCCGCAGCCTGACATGGTCTTGGGGATCTACCGAACACTATCTCCCACCCGTTGGTTCGTGCATCCTTAGTGTTGTCAACGGCCCGAGTCGGCTTCCGCAAGTCCGATCAGAAACGCCATACCAGCGAGGGCTCAGGGAAAGTGGTCAATGGCGAGCTGTATCTTCTCTGGCTGCCCGGCGACAGCAGCAACCCAGCTCGGAACATTCGACCTGCATTGGCCACCTACACTTCTGATCACCACCTGCACAACATCGGGCGCATGTAGCTTGGTTCAAACCCTCGCAGTGCACTGATCTTTCGGCCACTTCTGCCTCGCACCCAACACAGGGGACTTGTCGCTGCCATGGCTCACGTGCTGGCCGTCTGCTTCCTCGCCGCCTTTGCCAGGGTGGCTTTCGGTCAGTTTGAGGGGTGGGTTGAGGATCAAGTCAATGCTTCGATGTGTCTATGGGCGCAACCAAGAGGTATGTTCTACTGGATGGACTGAGTCTTCCGGTGGCTCGTTGCTTACCCTCCGCATAGGTGCCGTTATCAGAGACACGGTGTACCTCGACGGTGGCTTTCTGTACTGGAGCCAAGGGCTTTCGAATGGAGAATATGGAGCCCCAGAACAACAAGGTCGGTGGCGGTATCTCTTACCATCTTTGCTTGTGCCGATGGCCTCCTTGCGCTGATGCCTGCTAGAAAACCCCCTCGGCCTCATGTATACTCTCAACTTCAGCCGCTCGTTTCAGTCGTCTGACAACTTGACGGCGCTCTTCGGGACGATATCCAAAGCCCGCGGCGGTATCGGCAACGCCAACAACGACGCACCCAACTATTATGACGGAGCCATGCTCGTGAACGACGCTCAGTTGTCGCTGTACGGAGGCTTGGTCAAGAAGACGGATGCCTTTCCACCCCCTCGCGCAGATGACGCCCTGACCTACCAGGCTTGCCAATACGGGCCCGTACGGGATCAGTTCGAACCAGGCTTCGTCTCAAACACGCTTCCGGTTGGTATGACGCGGTACGTTGCGTATGGTGGAGCAGTCAGCGCACCGTCCGAGAACATGGCATGGTATTTCGGCGGACTTCGAGCACCAAACTGGGGGCCCGTGTTCCAACGAAATACGAACCTCACAGAGAATGCTCTCAACACCTCGAATACCCTTCTCACTCTGGACATGGCGACCCAGACGGGCCTTGTGTGGACGAATAATACCTTGCCGGGTGGGGTGAAAAGCAGGGCGAACCCTGAGGTGGTCTGGGTTCCCGTGGGTGAACAGGGCATCCTGGTGGTTATCGGAGGGGTCACCTACCCCGACTGGTTGACAAGCACCCGCAAGTCGGAGAATCCAAACCGAAGCGTACGTCTTTATGGCCTCCATTCGAAAAGTGACACTGACAGCTACGTAGAGAGAGGAAGGCGACGAGTTCATGAGTACGATAGAAATCTATGATATCGCCAATGACACCTGGTACAGACAAGCCACTTCGGAGGCCCCGACGGCGCGCACGCGAGCATGTGCCGTGGTGGCTTCAGCTCAAGACCGGTCCAGCTTCAACATTTATTACTATGGAGGCTATCCCGGCGTGGATCCCAAGGTGGAGATGAACGATGAGGTCTGGGTCCTGTCCCTTCCCTCCTTCACCTGGACCATGCTCAGTGAGGGTAAGCCGGGTCGTGGTCGGAACGGACATAAATGTTTTATGCCCTATCCCGACCAGATGATGGTCATTGGCGGAATGACCTCCGAGGCTGGCGATAACCTTGAATGCCTTACCGGTCTCATCCAGATCTACAACCTGACGAGTGGCCAGTGGATGGATGGCTATGACCCGGAGAGGTACGCTGATTACGGTGTTCCCACGGCCGTCAGGGAAGTCATCGGCGGCAGTGCTGCAGGAGCGGCTACCTTGACGACTCCGAGCCCGTCAGGATGGTCGGACGACAAACTGGCCGACGTCTTCGCAACGCCATACTCGACGTCGAAAATCCAAACTTGGTATCCCTATCAAAGAGTGACCGAGGCCAGCCAACCGACAGTTGAGCCTGGGGGCGATGGAAAGAACGCCAGCGACGATTCTGGGGGCGGCGGTGGCATGCCGAAATGGGTCGGACCAACTCTTGGTGCTGTCCTCGGGTTTGTCTTCCTGGTTGCGTTTCTCGCAGGCTTCTGCCTCTGGCGCAGGCGAAAGCTTCGCCATCAAGGCGCTCGCACCGAGTATAACGGCACCCGCATTCTGTCCTGGATCAGGGGCCAGCCAACGGAAGACAAAGCTCTCACCCTCACTACGTTAGAAGAGTTGCCCTCCAACGCTGACACAGTGGTGGGGCATGCAGCAAGCTCTCCTTCAGTCCCAATTCTGCCTGTCGTATCACAGTCTGAAATGATGGACACCACAATCGCAGAGCTACCTGGTCTTTCTCTCCCTCCCACAACTAGCATCAGCAGACTAACATCCACCACCTAGATACCTCAATGCCCCCCGAGCTCTTTGATACAGGCCTTACCCCCATGGAGGTGATTGACAAGCACACGCATTTCGGCAACTCATCTTACCCCACGTCCATCCAACCGACATACCATTATAGCTCCGTCTCGGACAACGATATTTTGTCCGCCTCCCGTTCATCAGGTGTCCTTGGCCCCTACTCCCTCGCCGACTCCCCAACCCGTGACGTTGTCAGTCCCATTGACGCTCCCGACCCGGCCGTCGGAATGAGGGATCGCATATTGTCCGTCGTCTCCGGCATGAGCGACCGCGACACTGGCCATCTCCGCCAAATCAGCGAAGCCACCGTCAGTGCAGCGTCCGACGCCGGCAACTCCTCGCCCGCGACCATTATTTCTCCTCTCGATGTGTCGGCTGCCCGTACCACAATGTCAATTCCGACCCCAATCAGCCCACCCACGGCGGGTTTGTCATTTGAGGACGAGGGCGACAGGTGTTCGTCAGCGTTCGGCGGGAGGCAGATCCATGACGTAGTTTCGGCGTTCGAGCCCAAGGTCCAGAACTAGGCCTTGCAAGGGTCGGCGGGTCAATCAACCCAGATTGAGGCTTGGTAGCGGGACTTGAGGCCCAGAATAAGGCCTAGAACAGGGACCAAACCGGGTTGATGTAATGGGCATGCCAGCACTGAATGAACTTTTCCTCACTGCGCATCCCTTCGCCTCGATATCTTGTCATATTTTCACGTTCGCTCACTCGTCTCGTAGAATGGCGCCGACACCGACCGGCCTTTTCGAGCTGCTACCCAACGAGCTTATCACGCTTCTAGCCAGTCTGTTGCCAGTTACCGACGTCGTATCTTTGAAACGCGCGACACACGATTTGCTGCCAGTTCTAGATCAACGCATTGATCCTGCTGAATACCTCCAGCGGGTCGGGCCCTTCACAGGTAGCGACGAGCTATTAGAGACAATGGCGACGCACGGTGCTGTGCTCTCCGGATCCAGAGCCTTGGAGTATTTTGTCCCAGGATCAGCCACGGATGCATCAGATTGGGACTTCTACGTTCCCCCGGTGCTTTCCTCGGTTGTGGCTGTCAAAAATGCTCTGGAGCGGTCAGGCGTGACCTTTGAATCCAGCCTCGCACGGGCAGCTCGCAAGTTGAGAGACGAGTCTTTCGTAACTCTTAGCCGGAATCAAGTCATTGCTGTCGCTTACGAGGCATACTTAGAAACATACCAGTGGCCTCCCGGGACTCGATATATAGTCGCCGCGGTACACAAGGCATATCCAGAATTACAGGATATGGCTCCCCTCATCCGAGCAGACGGCTCCGTCCGTTGGTTGGAGACCCTCGTCCCTATTCGAATCGACGACGGCGGCTCTACATCCTTTCCTATGCCTGAGCAACAAAGATTCCATTCTTATCCCAACAATATCGCAACAAAGGTCTTATGCGGGAGCGCCTGTAAGAACAACAAGACGGTTTCCATTCAGTTGGTGATAGGGGTCATAGATCCTCGAGGGATTGTGATCTCCGAGCCGCTCCTCCAGACGGTTTTCAGAAGCATATTCTCCTTCTATGGCAGTCACGTCCAGTGCTTTTTGACAAAACATGCTGCTTTTCACATGTACTACAAACTGGCACTGGAGAAGACAGCATACCAATGGCAAGTCCCTGAAAGAATCCGAGAGAAGGCAGAAGCCGCCGTTCAGAAATATAGTTCCCGTGGATTTGAGTTCAAGACGGCTCCAGAGGGCGACAGACGGGAGCTCCGCGCTGCGAAGGACGACAAATCCTGCCTCCTCGAGCTGGATGCCCACAACCACTACCAGCCCCCTATTTCACTGGTCAGGGAACTGCGTTGGCATCATTCAGGGCAATTCATTCGGCCATGCCTGCAACCCAACACCACAAGTGCACGGCGCGAGATGCTCCGCTTTGGAATGGTTAGCAGATATAACTCTTTGCATTGACATTAGTACGGGCTATGTGACTGGGTCGGATCGACTTAGTAGGGCTTCTTTAGTATCATGAACCCTTTACGCTTCGAAAGACGCGGCCGAACGGATAGCAAGGCCGTTTCCAAGTATATGACGTAGATTCAGGTGCTGGAAGTCTTTGACTCCTTTGATACTTTACACAAACAGAGGGGTTACAATATCACGAAGATGTATGAGAATTTGCCATGAGGTTGTACGTCTGGTGGCCTCTGATTTCTGGCGTCAAGCCCATAGCCTCGTTCAACACCGGGCACACCGCTACGCAGACGCTCCACCCCCTCAGGAACTCCTTATTGTGGGGAGGTCGGGCCAGACCGAAACCGTGCCAATAGTCTTCAAGTTGAGCAGTGGCTCATCTCAGAAGTTACCCTCAAAGTTGTTGCCGGTCTCAAAGGTCTCGCCACAATGATTAGAGATAGTCATCGCTTACCGTCGGCCAGCTGGAAAACTCTACTTCATATGGGGGTCGAGGGGCTTAGCAGGCGGGGCGTCAGCCTGAACGACGCTTTTCTGGAAGACTGGCTGCTAGTGGTGTTCGTCTGGGTCAACAGGAAGGAGGCCAATAATGACTCAAGTCGTTATGGGGACTGAAGGAGTGTTCTGGTGACCGCAGGCCACAATAGGGGTCTGGAGATGGAAGCACTCCCTAAGTGCTGCCAGCCTGGAGGCCTCTCAAGGTGTCAGAGCACCTGGTCTTGTCCTAGAACCACAGCACATTCCAGTATTACCACATGCTGGTGGGGTAAGTCTTGAAATCGCCATCCACTTGGCTCTTCATAGCAACAGCTAGTTTCCCTTGATCAGCATTTCAGTCCATCCTTCTTGTTCGCAACCGCTCTTAGGCTCTTGCAGAACTTCCATCCTTTGGCGGGCTTGTTGTGATGTCAACATCCCTTCGACCCCAGCGAACGCTCACCGATTTCAAAGGCTCGAGATGCTTTTTGATGACACCTGATCCACTTTCGGTGGCTCCAATGAAGCGATTCCACTCCCCTGCACCAGACTGCATTCTCTTCCTTCTTCTTATTCTTCTTGAATTCTCTGAAGTCGGAACATTCGGCCAGCATGACAAGCTCGAAGAGAGCAGTCATTGACTCTGCTTGAGAGCAGCTGACTGCGCATATGCGCACATGGGTCTTGGTTAAGCTGGATGTGAGCTTAAAGACGCCGACGCCTCCATCATCACCTCATGGCGGGCTGGAACCTTGGATAAGTCGGACCCCAACAACCACCAAAGAGGCCTCTTCACAGTCTGATTTCATTAAAAATCGAATCTCCCGTCACCAGGGAAGCTCTCCAACATCAATACTTGAGGCTGTCGACCAGTTTACGAAGAGGGCGCAAGCGATTATGCGTCACTATACCCTGATGGGGAAGGAGATCAATCATCTTCGAGAGGAAAATGCAGTACTAAGCCGGCGTCGCAGAGCCAAAAAAGTACGTCTCCGGCATGGAGGGAGCATGGCGCAAGGCGAAGGACAAGATCAGAACATTCAGAGAGAGGTAGATTCGCAGATGATGGAGGAAACGCTACAAAATCCAAGTATGTCGACAAGGTCGGCTCCGAAGAAACGCTGCTGTGGCGTCTGCGGAAAGACCGGTCACAACGCAAGAACTTGTCAGTTAGTTCTCCCAGAGCCAGAGGATAGCGACAAATGAATTTCAATTGAATTAGCTGCGTGATTGTTGAGTTGTTGGTCGAATTGATCGTGAAAGTTGGTTGAGGTGGTCCACTCGCCCGTGTGGTCCACTCGCCCGTGATGTACGTTATTTCATGTCAAAGTTAGGAAGACGCGTCGCAGTTAGTCAGGCCGGCATGCCCTGACATAAGCAGGCGAAAAGCACACCCCCTCGCGCCCCCAAACCCAAACCTTCCTTCATCTTTCTAGGGGCCCACTCTCTTACTTTCTTCTCTGCAACAAAAGTCGAGCCGCAAATTTCTTTGACGCGGCGCGTCTTTCTACTCTGCTCTTTTTATTCTCTTCCTGGTTCGCCTCTAGAATCTGGAGCTCCCTGAGCTCAAAAGCGCCGTTGGCTCTTCAACGGACCCGCCCTCTCTCCCGATACCAATACACTTACCTTACGCCTACACAACACTCGCCCACCATGGCGTGGTCCAAGTCGACGCGCATTGGCATTATGCTGGCCATCGACGTCGTCTTCTTCATCACCGAATTGACAGTCGGATTGCTTGTCAAATCACTTGCGCTCCTCGCCGATGCCTTCCACATGGTATGCCCACTGTCGCAGACCCGAGATCGGGATCCCTGCCTCGGAGACCGCGCCACTGACTCGACTCGAACAGCTCAACGATATCATCTCCCTCTGCGTCGGACTCTGGGCTGTTGCGGTCGTGAGCAAGGCCACCACTGACAAGTACTCGTACGGCGTATGTTGCACCCGAATCACGACCTGCGGCGAGGCAAACAACTAATCAACCGTGGCACAGTGGCTGCGAGCCGAGATTCTCGGTGCCTTCTTCAACGCCGTCTTCCTGATCGCGCTCTGCGTGTCCATCCTGCTGGAGGCCATCTCCCGATTCTTCGACCCTCCCGACATCCAGAACCCCCAGCTCATCCTCATTGTCGGCTCCATTGGCCTCGCCTCCAACCTGATCGGATTCTTGGTGCTGGGAGGCCACGGCCACGATCACGGGCATGGAGATCACGACTACGACCACGACCACGGCGAACACGACCACTCGCACTCTCACGAGCATGCGGCCGAAGAAGGCCGTGTTACAGCCACCGACCGCAACAACTTCGCGATCAGCAACGACGACGGTCCCGCTATCGATGTCCTGCCCGAGTTCGCTGTCGCCAGGGCTACCGAGGGCGCGCCGACCACTCCCCGCCGCATCAGGTTTGACAGCGAATCCGAGTCTCCCAACAACCGCGGCTCCAGTAACACCAGGGGATGCGAGAGGGAGCGCCGCAGGGCTAGCAGCCTGCGCCACTCGCGCCTCACGAGCATCGACGACATCGGCATCTACCCTTCCAGCTTCAGACAGGAGATTATCGACGCGAGCAGGCCCAGGTCCAAGAACCTCGACGGCACCACCGACGAGAGCGACGCCGAGGACAGCCCCGTCCAAGACGGCGAGACGAGCGAAAACACCCCGCTCCTGAACGACGGCAACGGCAACACGAGCTACAAGAGCACCTCCCGTCACCGTTCGTTCAACGGCCGCCCTCGGAGAGACTCGAGCCTGCAATGCGAGCACAACCACAACAAGCCCCAGGATGGCAAGAAGGGTGGCTACGGCCATAGCCACGGCGATATGGGACTGAACGGCCTGATTCTCCATGTCATCGGCGACGCGCTCGGCAACATCGGTGTTATCGCTACTGCCCTCATCATCTGATTGACCGATTGGCCCGGCAAGATGTATGCCGACCCCGCCGTGTCGCTCTTCATCACCCTCATCATTCTGAAGTCGGCTCTCCCCCTCACCTTCGCCACCTCCAAGATTCTGCTCCAGGCCACGCCGGACCACATCGATCTTCAGGACATTCGCGAGGACATCGAGGCCCTGCCCGGTGTCGTCAGCTGCCACCACGTTCACATCTGGCAACTCTCTGACACCAAGATCGTTGGCTCCATGCACGTTCAAGTTAGTTTCCCGATCTCGGCCGAGGGTGGCGAGAAGTACATGGTCCTGGCCAAGCGCGCACGTAAGTGCCTCCACGCCAACGGCATCCACAGCGCCACGATCCAGCCCGAGTTCCTCTCGAGCGCCGAGCACGCGCTCGTCGAGGATTCAACCGCCCTGAAGCTGGATGGCGCCGGAGACCACGTCGTCGTCAGGAAGACGTCGTGCCTCCTCGAGTGTGTCGAGGACTGCGTCGGCAAGGGCTGCTGCTCCACGGGCACCACCGTCGCGGGCTCCAGCCCGCAGAGCCACCACAGCCATAGCCCCAGCGAGTCGCCGCACTGGCACTAGGACCACCTGGTGCACTCCTTCCTTGGGTTTTGAGACGAGACGATCAGGATTTGGGTGAGCTCGGCGAAGGCTCACGTATGAAGCGACGAGCTCCCGACGGGGACGGACGGAAACGTGACGGCGCGCTGCTGCCACGATCTCTCCAAACCATACATGCGACGATAGAGAAAACCCTACTAGGATGAGGCCTCTTACCTTTTTTTGAAATCCCCTTCATTTCGTCTCTAATAGTCCGACTTTGCTATTCCGAAGGGAACCCGTTCGCGGCCTTTGCGGCTGCTGGCGTTGGCATGGAGGTTGCTTTGTGTAGCAGCCGGGGACGACGTGGCTTCTATGGAAGCCAGCGGGCATGGGCCAGATAGCAGCCGCGACGGTGTGCATGAGATCGGATCGTCTGGCATGTTCGGCTTGGACTGTCCGCCGGATATCGCTGACGTGGAAAAGTTGCGGTATTTTGTGGATTCCATGGGCGAAACGGTTGCGGCAGAGGAGGCATGCGGATCTGCGTGGAGAGGGTCTGCTGAAGTGCGGCACAGGTTCTCAGCCGAGCCATATGTCCTTGTTCCTCGAGGCCAGGGCTTCGTCGACTCCTTCGATACATGGTTTTTCGCAAAAGCATTCCCGACTCTGCTCCCGTGGGGCAGAGGCGGCCCTCGCCAGGCTGAGGAGTGTCTTGCAGGCGCAGATGCCGCGTTACGTGCTGTTGACACGGAATTTGCCGCCCAACAACTGGTGTTGTCCCGAAACATGACCCTCGAGGCATGGGCTAAGTTGGTTGTCCAGCGCCACGGTGGACGTTTGCTTCGCACCCCGTGCTCGCCTTTCTAGTCTTCAACATGGGAGTTCGGCCCAGAAATCACCGTGTGAGCATGGCCAGCGTGGGTAAGAGCGATTTCCCCGAGATAGAGCGCATCCTCCAAGGGCTGACGGCGTCGAGACTCGAATGTCTCGTGCATCACCTCGCTGCTAGCCTGACGCGCGAGTATGGGACCGGCGCGGGCACGAAGCGCCCCGGTGCGGGTCATCTGGCCCCACTTACGGTTTTCATCCGCACTTGCGGTTTCTGGTCCCACTTGCGGTTGCCATCCGCACTTGTGGTGTTTGGGGCCAGCGACGACTCTCACCTCCACGTGGTGCTGGCTGGAACCTGTGAAGCCTTTCGTCCCGGGCATTGACAGAGCCCAGAAGAGTAACCGCGAGCCAGCACTTGTCCGTTGGTTCTGGCTACGACAGCGGCAGGGTTCACGAGCCCTGCCGTGCACAGCCCACAAGGGGACACTTTGAAAACCATCCGACCTACGACCACGAAATCGAGCCTACAACCGATGGACATATGGGTTGTGGAATAGGACACCCTTGGGGTGCTTTCGGGCTGCTATGTCGAAAGGGACGAGAGGCGTCAAGGAGCGCGAGCGAAAAAAGAAGAGCAACGAGTAGGACAAGAAGCGACACTCCCGAACCCCCGCAGAGAACGACGAAGCACCTTGATTAGTAGGAGGGGCAACACTGCGTCGCTTGGCTGTATTGGCTACAGAGAGGATGCAAGTGTGTGAACTCCTGTGAGACACGGTCGGCCTTGCGGGAGAGATCTTGTGAGGCAGCGTGAAACAGATTTGATAGACTTACACCAGCTCCTTCAACAGGTCGACCTGCTCTGTGCGTTTCAATTTCCTCCCCATGGCCCAGGCGAGTTTGTGTCGTCTCGACTCGCCCGGCGCACCCGGGAGGTGCGAGCTGGCGCTTGTGACGCCCGTCGTGGCGCGAAGCGACCGCGACTTGCGCGCGTCCGAGGGGTCGCAGATGTCCCTGATGAGGTCGAAGACTTCGTCCACCGCCCTGCGGGTCTTCTAATCGTCGAGGGCTGCATTATGCTCGTCAGATGGCTTCCCGTCGTCAAAGCCCACCGCGCGGCCCCAGTTCTCGAGGCGGACCTTGGCAGCGCTGAATTGGACGTCCAGGTTCCCAGGCTTTCTATCCATAAGCGTATGGATTAAGTTAATCCATATGGAACGGTCCATATGGATTACCCGTATTCCATACGAGATGACCGTATTCCATCCGTATGGAGATACGCCGGAAAATTGTTTACCCTTGCGTACCTTGGTCGGTCCCGCCGCGATGGGTAATAATATCCCTTCATTTTCCTTAGGAATCGCGTCGAGATTCAGTTCGATCAGCAAAAGTGCAAATGTCCTCCCTCGCTTCGTTTGCTTCTAGCGACGGCACGCGCTCTGTAGCGCCTGTTTCGTCAGCCTCTGAGCTGCCGTCATCTGTGAGCCCTGCTCCATAAATTGCGTCAAGCTCGAACGGTCGGACGACGCGAAAACGCAAGACGACAGCAAACACATGGGCACATGCACGCGAACCTCAAAACTCAGAGCCAGCGCGTTGCCCTCGCAAAAATGAGAAGATCTACTACTGCATGTACTGTATAGATCCGACCTATTCGACGACTGTCTCAACTACTTTCCGCCATCACTTGTGCAAAGTCCACGGGATTGAGTTGGACTCCCACGACCACCCTGTCAAGAAGCAGCGCGACAGCCTTATTCAGGATGCTTTCGCAAAGGCCGGAGAGATAAGTGCTGCAAAGCAGTTGATAAGGCAGGAAGACACTCTCAGAGCTGCAGTCAATCGGAAGGCCGCTCTCGAGGCTTTGGTCCAACTCGTCACCGTCCGCAACCTCTCCTACAATTGCAGTTCCTGGCCAGAGCTTCACGCGCTTATCGGCGCTATCAACTATACCGCGGAAGGCATCATTAGCCTCTCCCATGGTTCCATTCAGAAGCTTGTCTCCAATTCCTATTGTGTGCACAAGGATATCCTGCGGAGAAGGCTACAGTCCTCTCCATCAAAGCTCCATCTGTCTGCCGATGTCTGGACAGCACCGAATCACAAAGCTTTCCTTGGAACTTGTGTTAAATTTGTTGACCCAGAGTCCAAAGAGACATTACAGGCCATGTTGGCCTTGTCCGAGCTGCCAGGTCTCGATGGGCCCGGTAGCCATGGTGGAGCTGAGCAATGGAAGCTTCTGCTACACGTTCTCGAAGACTACAACATCTGGAACAAGATCGGCTTCTACACCGGCGATAACCACGGCTCCAACGACAAGCTCTGCCGTTTACTTGGCGAGCACCTACAAGCTCGGGGTATCAATTGGGAGCCAAGGAAGCAGAGGATTCGATGCCATGGCCATGTCATTAACCTCGCTGTTCAGGCCTTTCTTTTCATGGACTCCAAAGAAGCTGCACGAGCCGCTCTAGAGCAGATCGAGGGCGACGACGAAACTGCGTTCGGTGCCGACTTTGCACAGCGAGTCAAGGCGCAAAGAGCACTAGGTTGGCGTCGGCTAGGGCCTCTTGGCAAAATCCACAACATCTCGGTCCACATGCGCGAGAACGATTACCGGTGGAATCTCTTCAAGAAGCGCGCTAGCCGGTCGCTGGGGTTGGACAACGATACGCGCTGGAACTCATGGTTTCTACTGCTAGACGTTGCCCTTAATCTCCAGGAGCATGTGGAGTGGTACCAAAGAAGATATTATGAGAACCTACGGGACGATTATCTTGCCCCTAATGAGTGGAGCATCCTGGAGGAAACCCGCACTTTCCTTCAACCATTCTGGAAGACGACTCAGCTTACAGAGGGTCGCTACGCCACCCTCGACCGCACGCTCTTCACGATGGACGTCCTTCACAGGCATTACACACAAGCTTTCCAAAAGCACCACGACAACCATGCACTCCGTAGCTGCATCGCTGCCTCTTGGGCTGTATTCGACAAGTATTACCAGCTTACGGATGAGAGCCCTGCCTATGGCGCAGCAATGATGCTTCATCCGTCACGCCGTATGGCCCACGTCAAAAAGAATTGGCCCAAGTCGTGGCACAAACCGGTACTTGATGGCGTGACGAAGTATTGGGAGGACTACTACCAGATGCTGCCGATTACCACCACAACGCCCGAACTACGAGACAAACTGCAGCCACCCGATGAGTATGAATTGCTCGCTCGAGAGCTCGATGTCGTTCGCCCGGCAATGAGCGAGCTCGATGAGTACCAATCCTTCATCACACAAACGCCAGTTGCTATTGACTGCTCGCCGCTTACTTGGTGGCTCCGAGAAGAACAGCAACATCGATACCCTCGTCTCTCCAGAATGGCCGTCGATATCCTTTCAGCGCCTGCCATGTCCGCCGAGCCAGAGCGTGTCTTTTCTGGTGCGCGACGTACGATATCCTGGGATAGATGTCAGCTAGGAAGTGGCACAATTGAAAAGGGGGAGTGCATGAAGAGCTGGATTAAAAGCGGTATCACACAAGGGATCCCAGTTGAATTGATCGAAGCAGAGAGCGAAGAGAACGACGATGTTATGGCTAGATGGCGAGAAACCACCCCTACGTCCTAACCGAGGCCGATCGTATGAGAAACGATGACGTCATTTTTTGTATTCCATACGTATGGAATAAGATTCCATACGGAGAGAAAGTCGTAATCCATACAAGAATCGTTCCATATGGAGTATGGAATATGGATAGAAAGCCTGCGCCGGTGACGCTCCTACCGCGTGGTTGAAGGCCGCACCTGTCAGGGCGTAGTCGTAGGCAGAGTGAAGAGGTCTCCCGATAGTGCGCTCCGCAGTCAATTCGTAGGTATAGCGATATAGAACATCTGAAATCTGCCCTCCTCCTGCGGAGTGAGGCCCCCCGCGGCTCTTATATAGCAGCCTCGAGCCCCCCGCGGCGTCTACGCCCCTGATCAACAGTCTGACCGCACCTGTTTCATCGCGAGGCCGCGGTTGTGCCCTGACAGCACCGCAGAACCAATAGGTCGGCAGTAAGCAAGCCGACTACGAGCCCGGGGGCCTGATAACTCCAGAGGGTCTCCTCTGGAGGTCGCCATGCTGTCTGTATTCATCAAACACGAGAAGGAGAGGCGGAGGAGGTGCTTCTTACACATCGGTGCCACACTTTTACTCGAATTGAAAGATTCTCGCTTAGAAGAACTTACTTGTGAATTCTACACCTCAGGTGACGCAACCAAATCCTTTCGCCAATGGCATCTTGACCGGTTACCCACGATGCTAAGCCGCGTTGTGAGATGAGTGACTTGGACTTGACAAGCTTTGAGGTTTCATGCCTTTGCCTTTGCCGTAGACCAGGCCCGGACCCGCGCACCATAATACCAGAATAAAACAGGGACTGGGACCATAATTACACTGAGAAATCCCAGCAAACTGGTCGCCCACGCGACGCCCAGGTTCCGGTACATGTATCTAGCGAATAAAGGGAACGCAGCCCCGAAGATACTCCTCACCGCTCCATTTGCCGCCATTGCGCTATTCGCCATGTCGGTATAGCAGTCGACGATGTAGGTAAAGCATTGAATGAAGATGGTGTACATGCCGCATCCGATCAGGATGCTGGCGCAGACCTGACTTGGCCAAGGGACCTCAGGGCTTGACGTCCATGCGTACCAAAACATCCCCGCAGGTACAAGGCAACCCCCGAATATCATCAACGGGAGGCGCACTTCAGGCTCAAAGGTGCCACCGTTGCGCTTGTACGTCTGTTTAAAGTGCCTCTCATTGTACACTACCACAATAAGTGTGCCAAGTGTAACTCCAAGGATGATTCCAAGAAGTGCCAATGATGAAAGTGCGGCATCCCATCCTCGTTCGTCCCCAAAAGCGATTGGGTAGGATTGGTAGAACAAGTACATGACGCCATAGATGAAGGATTGGTAGAGGGTCAGCAACACCAGAATGACCTCGGTGAAGAAGAGACCTGGAGCACGACAAAGCCATCAGATGATGCCAGCTGTGATGTTGGGAAGGGATCTCGACACTTACGCCATGGCCGGATCAGATACACCTGAGCAACATAAGCGATGCTCACGTTTTCCTCATCTAGAGCACATCTGATACGGCTGTTGCCAGTCGCTTGGCGCAGCCGCTTCGCTTTTTTCTGGAGAATCTTTGGTGGATAAGTCTCAGTAAATGCCACTAAGCCCACAACAGTGGTTCCTAGGCCGGTGATGACGACGACCCACATCGTCCATCGCCAACTCAGAGAGCTGCTGACAATGAATCCTCCAATGATTGGGCCGAACGTAGGGCCAGAGAAGACGAGGAAGATGCAGAACGCCATCGCTACACTCCGGCTTGCCGGATTCCAACAGTCGGTGATGATGCCGCCTAGCACGGCAATAGGTGCGACCCCGAAAAAGCCGGAGAGAAACCGACCGATGAAGATGGTGGCAAGACTGTGGCCGAGGGCTGGCATCAAGCCGAACAGGGACGACAGTGCGACGCCTCCAATCAAGGGATATTTGCGTCCGAATTTCTCTGATAAAGGGCCAAAGAGAAGGGGCCCGAATATATATCCCTACAATAAGGTATCAGCATCACCGGACGGCTTGTCGCAGAGGCATCAGTTAGACGTACCACCAAGTACAAAGAGGTACCTAATATCGTCACCTCCTCGCTGACACCGAATTCTCGTGCCACGGCGTCTTGAGCACTGCCAAAGATGCTGCTGCCGATAGTCACCACCAGATTGAATGCAGCTAGCAGGAACGTGGCCCAGACACGGTCAAGTAAAGCCCAGTTGTGTGGGTGATCTGGGTCATCCGGAGACTCGAAATCGAGGATTTCAAGGCGGATCTCTTCTTCCAGACTATGGCCGTGATGATTGAGTCGAAGTTCGAGTTCGTCTCGAGTCGAAGCACCGCCATCCTCACAAAGTGGTATCGACGCTGTCATTATGGGCGCAGGTTCCTCGTCTTAGGTGTACTCAACAACGAAATTCACTCAAGGTAAAGGTAGGAGCGCAGACAATAATGCAGGGTCTGGTGCCTGGCATATATGTGCGATGTCAATCTAGCTGGACTCCTAAGCGTGTGGCCCAGCACAGAATTTCTAAGTCTCCGTAGCGGACTGACCACAGCAGTTGTCCAATCACGAACAAGAGAAGCATGTGAAGTTCGGCCACATTCTCGGCTACATCTCTACAGTTCCTTCGAGGGCGCATATTTCCTGCACCGAATAGAGAGAAGTGAAACGTGCTCTGGAACTGGCAGCAGTCGCTCCGATCTGGGGTAGTTGTGATAGCGGAGACTTTTCTGGACTGCTAGTGGTGGCCGAGAGCAGGGTTTCGGAGGAATACCAATGGCCTAGTTAATTGCACTACTTTGCCTGCAGACACACAGCCAGGTCTTCAAGAACAAAGAACTGAGCCAAACGCAGCCTCCAGATGTTCTTAAAGCTCAAGAAGGCGTACCTGTCTTCGTGCCTCGCGGCAGTGCAGGACGCAAAACGGTGTCTTCTCCGGCCCGTGAATGCATGCCTTGGGAATATCAGGACAGTGTGGCGACGCGTGCCATCGGACCTGCCTCGCCTCCAGTTCGTCGACCAGAGACAAAAAGTATAGCCTGCTCTTGTTGTCGACAACACCAAAGATCTCTGCCTTTACTGTCTTTCTCGCAAGCGCTCTCCACTCGGCCGGGTTGATGTCGAGAACGAAATAACCCACAGTTTGGCAACTGAATCCTGCTCCTGCTGCATCAGAAGCTGGCTGTACCAGCGTCCAAGTCTTCGTCTCGCTGTGCTGCGTTGACCGTTCAGTTTCGGCGTCTATAGCCTCCAAGATGGCGCGATAGTTGGTTGTCATAGAGATTAGTACGGTACTGATCAGCTGCGTATTTTGCACGCTGGTGACGTAACGCTGGGGGCAGATGGCGCACTGCAAAGGCGCCATGATCTTTTCCCACCAGCCACGAAGAAGCGTCAGGCCTGAAGGGAATTGTAGCTCGGTAGCCTGCTGTAGTTCGTCCAAGATCAAGTACAGGGTTGCGAGACAGGCACAAGGCCGGCCCAAGAGGAGGCCTGCCAGGGCAGTACTTGGGGTGCTTGGTATTGGTGCTTCCGTCGTGTGACTACTCATCAGCTAGGATTAGAAACTAGGTCCGGATTGGAGATCTGTCGAATTGCCGTGGCCACTTACTCTCTGGCTTGAGGTATCCACACAGAAGGTGGCGGCGTCCCGGTAGTCCGGTTCTCATCCAGGATATTATCGGGGAAAGTTTCGGCGCCTGTATCTCCTGGTCCGAAAGTTAAGGCGTCACACATTGGAAACTGGCCACTCGGCCCGAGAGGCGGCGACAGTGTCCGATCCCTTGAACCCGGAGCGGGAATCGTTTTCTGGCTGGCATCAGACCCGGTGGGGCCAGGAGTGGTAAAGTCCAGCCTCGGCCTCTTGGGCCGCCCGAGCGGCAATGCTGTGGCATATGTGCATTCCGCACTTGAGCGCTGGCATCTGGAGCATGATGGAAGCTCTCCGCTGCACTTCTGCTTCTTTTATCCTAGTCAGATCAGTCAGCAAGGCCGAGAGAAGAAGTGAATCAGCATCCTTGGGACGGGCAATCATACTGCACTGCTCGCATGCAGTCCGTTGAGGACACGTTGAGGCTGATATCGGATGTAGACCAAGCTGCGTTCTGCTGACTCTTGGATACTTCCGTATCCCTTTTTACCGCTCTTTTTGTGCTTGCTGGAGGTGGACTTTCACGTCGTTCCACGGTATGTGACCCAGACCCGCGAGCTTCGATATCGTCTTCTCCCTAATACTGTTGCCGAAGAATTCATCGAATTGTCTTTCCACTATTTGCCATTGAAGACAAATGTTCCGTTTCGTCCGCGCAAGTTTCTGCGCTTGGAGGGGGGGGGGGGGGGGGGGGATTGCCATGGACGAGTGCCTCAGTTTTCTGCATCTCTCGCCGCAGTCTAGCGGGGAAAGCCACACGTTCCGCCTTCTCGATTCGTTCGAATTCCTGAAATTCGTCATCTAGCGAATGGCTGAGGGGGCGAGGTCTGGCCGACATTGTGAGCTCGCGGTTATTGGTTGAATTGCGTTGACTTTGGTCGTGGGAGGATCACCTGCAACGGCCGAGGCCTTCATTCACGGTATATCGTTCCTCCGAAGCGCTGCCAACTCTGTCTGGGCATTCTGGGCACTCTGGGCACTCTGGGCACTATGGGCACTATGGGCAATATGGGCACTATGGGGCCGCACGCACCGGTCACTCGTGTCATTTGGCCCTTCGTCAACAAAGGTCATTTTGCCTCTGCTCCGGTTGACGACACGCCGTTTACCATTAGCCATTAGAGGGCAGACAGTGCGGCCAAAGGAACAGGTGAAGATCCTCGGGAGTCATCTTGGACCAGCAACTCCGGTACAAGCAACTCATAGCTAGAGCAGCAACAAGAGGACTCAAGGCGGCGATGGCACTGAGACGGCTGCGAGGGCTGGCCCCTTCAGTAGCCAGGCAGCTCTTCACGTCGACGGTGGCGGCCGTGATGGATTACTCGTCAAACGTCTGGATGCACGCGTGTAGCGAGGCCTTGATCAGACCCCTCAACAGGGTGCAGAATGTTGGAGGGCAGGCCATCGTGGGGACCCTTCGTACGGTAGCCACGGCGGTGGCAGAAGCGGAAACGGGCATCCTCCCAGTCCGGCAGCGGCTGGCAAGGCGGGCCACGGCGTTCTGGGTGAACCTGAACACACTCCCGGACAACCATCCTCTGGCAACCACGGAGAGGCGGATGACGAAGCGGTTCACGTCACCTTTGCAGCGACACGCTGCGTCACACGAGGGAGTACCGATCGACAATCTGGAGGTGCAGAAGCCCTGGAAAGGGGCGGAGGGAGAGGTCGCACCGTCATCGTTACGAGCACGTCAATCAGTGGCGAAATGGTCGGCATCGGCGGAGTTCTCCGGCCCTCGAGGACCGCCCAGCTCATGGTGGTGGCCACACTGGGCACACGGGATGAGCAAAACCCATTCACGGCCGAGCTTGCAGCCATGCATGTTCTGCTACCGTAACTACGGTGCAGCCAAGCTGGAGGACTTGTGGTGGGAATGGGCGAGGCAAGTCCGATCGAGAAACACGATCAATCTCAACCTGAATGCCTCGGCCGCTTCCTAGAAGGAGACAATAGTACAGCAGGGGTTGCGTGAAACTCCTTGAGACGGCCATGATTATACACAAGAGCGGCGTGACACGGTTGAGATGGTAGCGAGGCAGATCTGCTTAATACCAAGCTTGATGTGCCATCCGTAAGTGGGACCAAGAAATCCGTAGGTGGGGTCAAGAAACCGCAGGCGGAGATGGCATCCGCAAGTGGGGCCACAGGGCTGCAAGCGAAAATACGGACCTCGCAGCTGCGGCGTCCTTCACCATCTCCGATCAGCTCTGCAGGGACACAATAGGAGTCAAGGTCCTAGGAGTCAATATCGTCAAGATCTACCGGGACTACCAACTTCCCACCATTATCAATACCATTACAAGTTGGACCCCTCCACCAAACCCGTCATTACAGGGGACTTTAACGCCCACCACGCGTCATGGCAGCCCGGCATCAGATCCAACCAATCGCCTACAGCTCAACCCAGCTACGCAGATCGCCACCATGCCAGCTTCTCTAACCCTAAGTCCTACGAAGACTACACTATCGCCATCATATGCGCCATAAGCTTCGAGATGACCGCCGTCCGCTACATGCTCGACAACGATTACCCCTACCTGCGTGTTAAGCCGGGAGACTCTAACACATACAAGCTCGGTGACATCTATAGCCATAATGTCGTTCTCGCCTGCCTCCCCGGCCAGCAGGGCAAGGGCGCCGCCGCCGCCGCCGCCGCCGTCGCCGTCAACATATCCCGCACGTTTCCGTCTATCAAATAGCGGTTCCTCGTTGGCATCGCCGGAGGCGTCCCCCACAAGCACGACGTCCGCCTGGGCGAAATGGTGGTGACCATGCCGGAGAAGAGCACGACGGCGTCGTCCAGTATGACACTGGAACAGAGCAAGAATGACCAGAATGACCCGGAGAATGGCAAGAGGCCGAAGGGCAAGGGGATGGCAGGACTGTGGGCAAAGCAAGGCCATGGGCAAAGCAAGACCGTGGGATGGCTTGGCGGAAACACCATTTCCATGTCACGGCTGGGATTTGTCAGACCCGGAAGACGGACATGTCAGGGTTGGGGCATGTCAGCTGACGTCAACCGACGCTATCAAAGAACTACTGAAAGTATCGAGGGGTCGACAGGACACTCTCATACGCTTTGCTCTGATGCTCGTTAGGCGTCCACACTGTTGCGGGCTGCAACACGATACACCGAAAGAGGAACGGCGGTGACGCGAGCAGGCAACGAGGTGGTCCGATTGTGGTTTGTTGGTGTGTCGGTGTGGTCGATGGCTCGATGGCGGCGAGCGAGAGGTGTGGGGTGAGAAAATGGAGAAAAAACAGCCCGACAGGGGGGCCATTGGGCAGCCAGGCAGGAAGCTAGCGTAGGTTTAAGAGAGACACCACAATGACGGAAGAAGAGGGAGGCTGGGCGTCGAGCTGAGTCGGGTAGGGCAGCACATGACTGGGGAATGGAAGGGATGAGGCAAGACTGTTCAACACAAGGCAGTTGGGCTGGTAGAGACAGGATGAACGACAGCGAGGAAGAGGTCGGACCGACATTTGTGAGGGGGGATGGCTCAAGGCCAGTGCACGCGAACAGGATTACCCAAGGCCTCCGCCCCCCAACGTAACGAAAAGCCCGTTTGGCCGTGCCGTCAACTTCAGGCTTGCACACGCATTCGAGAGTCGTTTTATACGCCGCCTTGATACGAGGGGCTAGACACGCAATAGATGAGCTCAGATCAGTTATGATGGCTAAGGCAGCCGACAGCGGGAAGTGGTGAGCTGTTGCAAGATCTGAACAGACAACATCCCACACCTTTTTCAACAAGAGGCGTGATCCGGAGTGATGTGGCCGACCCCATGTCAGCATCCATCGAGAACACTACACCGAGCCACACCTTGATTAGTGGAGATTCATCGTCGTGTGGATAGGAATAACTGTCAGATCATCAACGTCTCTTTCGACGATTTTAGAAGATACCTCCGGTTTCGCCTATATAAGGCGTCACAGATTCAGACCACCGTCATTCGACTGCGAAGTTCAGTCTCCGCCATTCTACATGTCCCGCCGCATCCTGCCGAACTTGGCCGAAGGTCCCCCGCCGAACAGCCGTGAATCTGTATTCAGTTTAGACTCGGTGCCGACGGAAGGCGGCAGGCGCCAGCGGGCGTCAGCAGCTTGTCACGAGTGCCGCAAACAGAAGTCTAAGGTTCGTGAACTAGCCTCTTCCAGCTCGCATCATCTGACGTTTTGTTTCAGTGCTCTGCCCACAGGCCCCAATGCCTTCGGTGCCAGCGGCTCAGCAAGGAATGCGTCTACAACACGACTCCGACTGAGACCCAGCAACAATCGTTCCAACGAAAGTACGGCGAACTCGAGGCCCGGAATACTGACCTTGAATACCTTTTCAGCTTTTTTCGCGACGGACCAGAAACAGACGTTTATGTCGTCTTGCGTCGTATTCGTGACGGCGCGGATCTCAAATCGCTTGGGAGACACATCCGCGATGGAAGCTTGCTACTTCAGCTGGCACATCACGGCGAAGTGATCTAAAAGCTCATACGTCGTTCGGCCTATGCCATCACCAAGGGACGCCCAGGTGGCGTTGTCTGCCATGGAAATATAGTCCGATGCTGCAGTGGCCTGAGCATGGGCCAACGTCTAGGGCTTCGATGCGCATGCTAGACGGGCGAAAGAGCATCGTAGTGGCACGACGCAGATGGCAATCAAGACTGGCACCTGGCAAAGGCCTAGTTCCGCTATCCTTCCCTCTTCCGCCTTGCAAGAGATTTCTGGCTCGGCTGCCCATCAAACGAGGATAGAACTACAGCCTAAGGGGCGGGCTAGGGGGTATTCCAGCTTGGGGGGTGGGGACTCTGGGCTGGCACGATGTAGGGCCAAGCGGGGGGGGGTGGTTCGGGATGTGACTGTCAGACGCGTGTGCCCCACCAGCGACGAGCCCTTTCCCCTTGATCTCGAGGACAATCAGGGCCAATCAAATGTCGGACCACGACCAGGCGGCAGCTGTTTTAACGGTCCGCTCTACTTAATGGTACGGTGTAGATGGGGTCCAAGACTTGATGGTAC